GCAACGCAGTGAAGGAGACATTTCCGACCCCATAAAGTATATATATTCTTGATCAGCATCACAAGACGAGTCGATCTAGCCATGTCCGTCTGTCCGTCTGTCCGTCCGTCTGTCCGTCTGTCCGTCCGTTTCTACGCAAACTAGTCTCTCAGTTTTAAAGCTATCGGGATGAAACTTTCGTAGAAGTCGTATTTCTATTGCAGGTAGTATATATGTCGGAACCAACAGGATCGGACAACTATATCTTATAGCTCCCATAGGAAGGATCAAAAAAAAAAAAACGTAAAAAAATTCTAGCTCCGGTGTTTTTTTAAATTTTACCTTCTTCTCTTGGGAATATTTTTTTCTATATATTTCTGAATTTCGGTTTTTTTGTTTTTTAAATCGGATCACTATATCATATAGCTGCCATAGGAACGGTCGAAAAATTAAATGGAAATTAATGGGAAAAAATTATATCTTTGTTGGTTTTTATTACATTCCCTTCTTCTCTGGGATATGACTATTTTGAAATATTTCCGAATTTCGATTTTAATTTTTAAAAAATCGAACTACTATATCATATAGCTGTGATAGAAACGATCGAAAAATTAATGTGAAATAATAAGAAATTTAACATTTTTGCGATTTGTAAATTAATAGAATGATCTGCAAGGGTATATAAGCTTCGGTTTGCCGAAGCTAGCTTCCTTTCTTGTTTTTCATTGCAATTTTATTCACCGTTTCTTCGGCTTTGCCCCAACAAATCGGCATTCAGTGGGCCGCTCATAATCAGTCAATGGCTTGCAAAATTATACAGCCCGACCACCCAATTTTGCTTCCTTCTTTATTTTATTTTTATACCCGTTATTTTTTTTTGTGCTTTCTTCGCTGCATTTCATTTTAGTTTATTGGTGTGACAAGCAAGTTCCGCGTATAGTCTTTTTACGTAATTGATTATCTGGCCTCTGAGACATTGTTTCTGAGTAGACATCAATTTTTCAAACTCCAACTGACTTCGTCGCTTTGATTATAATCATCATTCTCGTCATCATCACTGATGATTCATCAGCATCTGAGAAACAATCTTCTTCACTACTTCTCTTGTTACCTTTTATCGTCGCTTTCTTTAATTCGATTTGAACTTTTGGAGATTTTACCATCAACTGCATTTGACAAAGACTGTAATTTTGCTTGCTCCACAAACTCAGGAAAAACTTAGGCTGAAGCTAAAGAAAATGGGTACAAAAAAAACGGAAAAGAACCAGAAGCGTATCGGAGTGGAGTAGTTAGGGGGAAAGGCGAAGTAGGGGGCGAAATACTTTTCCACTGAACTCAACCGAGAACAACTGACAAAAACTGACAAAGTGCAGTCTGAAAAATAGTTTTGGCCATAGTATGTATGTATCCTTCTTTTGCAACTTTTAATCTATTTTATTTTTGTGCTTTTTCTTAAATTTATTCCGTTTTCTGTAACCAGTGTTTGTGTAATGTGTTCATTTAAATTGTAGTAAAAATCAGTTTCATTGTAATACGAAAATGAAAAGCATCGCGCACCGACAGGAAAAATGATATCACGAAAACAGCATGTGGGTGGGTTATGGTATTGCAAAGACATCCAGACGCAAACACGGCATATTAATGCACCTGTGCCATATGACAAGCGCCATTGAAGGCCTTGCGGATGAAGCATCTGCTGAGATATGTACCGGAGCAGAGGGATTGGGGAGGAGTCGATGGGAAATGGCGCCAAGGGAAGTGGATAAGCACAGTTCGTGGTGCCGACATTTTGACAGCCTTGCGAGAGTGTCAGGGGGAAGGATACCAGGACATTTCAAAGAAGTGTCATCTTGAAGGAATCCGGAAAAAAAATAAGGATAGAGCGGAAACTTCGATTAAAATGGTGTTGCTATCGAACAGCATTTAAAGAAGTGTTGGTTATTGGTCTTGGTGACATTTTTGCAGATAAAACATTATGTTTAGATTTAAAATTTAACCGGATGTGAAGTTTGTCGACCAATGTTATTAAGAGCGGACAATGTCCACTTATTCCCACCATCCTATTTTTGCTCATTCATATTTAAAGGTTAAGCATATGGCGAAAATGGTTTCATGTGCTTATCGTTATTATAGTCATTCTATGAAAATTTCCATTATGCCGAGACATTAAATTAGTCTTTCCCTTCGAATTTCCCACCATTAGCCATCTCACTCTCACAGTAAAGAACTAGTAGTCCTTGTCTCTTTCCATCACCTAAATAGGTGTTAAGCTGTGCTTCATAATGACGCACATTACATATGCAAGGCGAGCTTTTGATTCCGCCCCTTTTCTGCCCTTCAGTTGCCCACCGACAACAAATGTTTACATATTTGTTTTTGTCAGTACTTTATGTTTTCCTCAAGAATATATACAACATGGAGAAAAAAGGGTCTGCAGGGGTTTAAATATATACTCGAGCAAAGCCGTACATGAATTTTCCAATAAAATGAAACCGCGAATTCTTTAGTACAAGAGGAGCCAATATGAACCACGACATTATATGCCGGTTATAACACTAGTTCTTAAACAATATGATGGCAAATTATTGAGAGCAAGAGGAAACAATTCAACACTTTTTTGCTTACGATATACACTTCATTACCATTTTAAATTAAAAAATTCCTACAAATTGTATAATGGTATTATCCCAGTGTAAGCCGGCTCAGTCACTCCCACACACGGGTATCTGTATCTTTATTTAGCGTTGAATTTGTTGCACTCCCACAGGACTCAATTTGTCGTTTGAAACACCTGTGCCACGTAGAGCATTTGTTTATCAGCGCAGTTCCTGTTGTTGCTGTATGTGTATGTTGCCCCCAGCAACGCCTTCGGTAAATGGAAATTTTCCTCATCACCTTTAAGCACTGCCGGGCAAAAGTTGTGAGAGTGCCTTGCTTTCAAAGAAGCCTGCACAAACTAACTAATTTTATTTAAATGCAAATCACAGTTTCGAACAACTGAAAACATCCGCGGCAACCAATTTTCTCCATTAAAATGTTTACAAAATTAAGAAAATTGACAATTTCCGCCGTGCAGGACGAGAGGCGGCTCGGCAAAAATAATAAGAATTGAAAGTTGATGGCTCTGCCTTTGAGACTCCTGCAATTGTTTTGAGTTCGCGCTTACTTTTCCCCACTCCAGTGCTCGGTGCCCCAGTTTTGTGACACGCCCCTCGAGGGGAAGGTGGCAGGGGATGAAGGGGCGGTGGGGCAACCTTTTGGCACGGCAACAACGCGTCGCATATTTAAATTTTAATTAAAATTTTCTACAGGGCCTGCCGCACCGCCTACTTTTCCTCTCTTGTTTTCCTCCTTTCGGAGAGCGGCGCGCGTTGTGTTCCCATTTCGCGTTCGCGCGCCTAAAAATATGCAAATAAAAAATGCCTTTGTGCGAGCCTCGTCAGGAAAAAGGAGTCAAAGGAACAGAGGGGGTAGCGAATCCTGCTCTGATTTCTGATAACCTTTTTGCGGAGGCTTCGTGACCACCCGAGGGAAAAATGTAACTCTGAACTTGTGGTCCTGCAACGAGCAGAAATTAATTATCTCTTCGTACTGACGCGACAACAGGGATATCTATAACTGACGGGACAATCGTCAAATCAGAATGAAATGTACGCCCACAATCGCATTAAAAGAGCTAAGAATAGAAGCCTGTCCCCCACATCTTTACAGATTTTGCAGAACTGTAAATGCCATTTTTTTGTGTTTATAATACCTATCGAAGTATTAATTGGATCATTCATTAAAAAGTTATGAGCAAATAATGAAATGCAAGCAGTCGCTTTCCTATCTCCATCTCTCTCGTAATTGCTTTTTGCTGTTTGCATATCCATCTTTCTCGCACTCATTTATATGAGTAACAGGTATTTGATAGTCGGGGCACGCGAATATAGCATTCTACCTTGTTTAAATAGAAATCATGCCCTTGAGTTTTTACTTTTTTATTTAAGTTTAATATTTCTAAATATTCCGAGATATTTAGAAATGGAAAATAAGTGAGGTGCTTTGAAATCCGGCTTATTTTGTTCTTGTTCTTATCAAATGAAGAAATTAGAACCTGTTCATTTCGAAATAATCCGTAGAATAGTTTCCGTTGACTAATCGAACAAAGAGTCAATATTCGAGAGTGTCACAAAAATCTTATTCAGCCAAAGAGATTTCTGTGACACCCCGAAATAGATGTTGTTGGATAGGTGACAGGAAAGAAAGTATCTTTGGAATCCTCTCCCAAAGCTGTAATTTGTCCTTTCATAAGGCGACCATGGAGATGGTATGCTTTTGAGCAAAGAAGCAACTTACAATGACATGCTGGAAATTTGTGAAAGAAATTGATACGGCAGTCGCTGCAGTTTTTCCTACCCTTCACTTGAATTTGCCACTGCAACTTCAAAAGTAACGTAGTCCCTTTTCGTTTCGTTTCTTCTACACTTCTTCTTCTCTCTGCTGCTCTTTGAAATCTGTTTTCGACTGGTGGAATTTTTTGGTTAAAGCCAAAGGAGCAGGAAGGAGGAGGGGTTCTTGTCTCTGTCCTGGTTGTTAGTTGCAGTCCACAAAACCGCCAAAACGCAAGAGGTAAGGGGAGCTAACTGGCGATGAGGGGGGAGTGCCGAAAGAAGCCTCTCAGTTCTCTAGCCACAATTTGCCATGTAAATATTAATGCCGGGCTAGACACAGCCACAAGGGGAGCATGAGGATGGAATCGGGGTATATAGCTATAGCTTCGTCTGCACTCAATTTTTCAAAGCTCGTTTGTGTCGTTAGTTGGTTGGCTGGGTTTCGGGCTGCTTTAACTACTTCTCGTTTCTTCTGCTCGTATCCTGTTTTGGTCTATGCAAATAATGAATGCAAAATGCTGTTCAAGTGTTGGAAAATCAGCCAACGTTGCTGGCAGAACACTGTAATCCCTGAATTCAGTTTATTGAGATGCTGTAAAATTCCACAATTAATTTTCCTCCATTTTATCTCTTGACTCTTTCCAGGCGCTATCAAAAAGGAGTGGATAACGAGGAGAGCTCCAAAAGGAAGTGAACAATTTGCATAAACCTCTACGCATTCACCAAAATGAATAATTTCAATAAAATATTTAACAGTGAAAGTGAAAACGGTTGAAGTTTCAAAATCAATAAAAGTACTCGACATGCCAAAGAATGCGATATCAAGTGCAGTATAAATTTGAGCCCAGCATGCTGCTCAAACGTAAAGTTAACATATTTTCACATTGATAGACATATGAGCGTAATTGAATAAAATCACACAAGAGAGCAAGGCTTTCAGAGTAAAAAAAAAAAACAAAATAATAGATTCCAGTGCATGAAGTGATAAACAAGATAAAATAATTGAAAAGTGCGGAAAACTGAATAAATGAAATAAGAGCTAGGTGCTCTCGAGCATTATAATTTAATATTTAGGGTTAAGCTATGCCAGGTCGCCACTAGAGAAATATGGAAAAGCGGCTAAGCGACAGTCCCGGAGATTGTCGCGTAACCAGATCCAGCATGACGCCCACCCTGCGCCTGGATCAGAGTCCCAGGCAGGAGCACCATCATCATGCCCAGCAGCCGGAGAGCGGCACAGCTGCTGCTGCTGCAGCAACTGGCAAGTCCAAGTCCCCCACGCCGCTGCCCGGAAAATCCCAGGCGGCCCAGCATCACCAGTTTCGTGCTCCGCAGCAACAGCAGGGCCCCAAGAACCGGAACAAGGCCTGGGGCAAGAGGCAGCACAACAAGGCCGGCGGCAAGCACAACGCCAGCGCCTGCGTCGGCGCCAGCAGCGCCCAGGCGCAGTCCACGGGCTCCGCCGCCGGCCCGGCCACCGCCCTCCTGCCGGCGACAGCGTCGGCAGCCCATCACAAGGCCGATCTCGAGAACATCCAAAATATCCAGAACAAGAATCAGATCACCGGCGGCGGGATCAACCATCATGCCAACGCCGGAACCGCCCATCACGGCGGCGGTGGCGGCGGTAATGCCCATCACGCCGGAGCCGGCGGAGGTGGACATCATCATCACCATAACACGCGGCTGGCGCAGAACGCCGCCGCCGGTGGAGCAGGCGGAGGTGGAACTATGCAGAGCTATAAGAAGATGCTGACACACAGGTGAGTAATAGAGACGTATGACGTAGTCGTAGATCTAAGATCTTCGAAAAAATGCAAATACTACTTACAATAAAAAGTAGTAGCGTTAGTCATTAAACATTCAAAGACATTTGCTTAACAAACCGTCACAAAAGATATGTGACTTAATGCAAAGTTTTAGAACTGCCATCCATTTAGGAACGAATCGCAATGGGTCGTAAAGTAGGACACCTGATATTTAAAAGAGAGTCGATCTAACGGTTTAACGTACAGAGTATTACAAACGTCATTTTCTGGAAACATTTTTATACCCTTGCAGAGGGTATTATAATTTTGGTCAGAAGTTTGTAACGCAGCGAAGGAGACGTTTCCGACCCCATAAAGTATGTATATTCTTGATCAGGATCAATAGGGGAGTCGATATAGCCATGTCCGTCTGTCCGTCTGTATGTCTGTTTCAATACCGTTTGCGAGCTCAGTTTAAAAGCTAGCGCCTTGAAACTTTCACAGTCGTCCTAAAACATGTGTACGCAGATCAAGTTTGAAAGCCGACCCGATCGGACGTCTATATCCTATAGCTCCCATAGGAACAATCGGATATAGCTTTCACAAAAATGAAGATATTTCGCTCAGTGTAAGAGCTATTGGCATGAATCTTTCCAAATCGTATTTTTTTGTGCGTACCTTGATCAGGGTAAAAGCGCGTGCCGATCGGACGTCTATATCTTATAGCTCCCATACACTCATAAAAATATTTTTCTACATTTTAGAAAATCGCCCTAAAAAATTTTTCGCCTTTGAACTGAGAAAAATTTTCTATTTTCACGACAAATTTGCCATAAATTTAAGGCAGGTGACCATAAAAAAATATTTTTAGGGTTAATTTTTCTATTTTTCTAATATTTAGGGCGGTTTTTTTCGATTTGCTTCGTTTTGACCTTTTCTAAATCCAACGGCGAATTGCCCTAATTTTTTTTCTAAAATTTTTCTAAATACAAGGGCGATTCGCCTTAAAAATCACTCTAAAAGTGTGAAATTCGGTAGCCCAGCGGTCTAATCACTTGCGCTTTCAACTTTCCTATATGAGGACTAAGGTCGTGGGGTTGTGGGTTCGAACCCTGTGTGATTCAACTTGATTTTTATGTTTTTTTTTTTTTTGTAAACATTATAATACTGAGGACATTTTTTCGTCTTAATTTTAAATTAAAGTAGTCTTTAAACCTTAAAAACGTATGGGAGTTCTGAGTTAAAAGCATACTTTGTGTTTGCGGGCAAGAAAACGGGACTAATTGTCACAGTCGTCAGGAAAAAAATATACGGTTTAGTTGCCTTTAGTCATATTATAACGTAGACCTCAAGAAAATAAGATGTGTGCAGAGTTTGTTCGTCGTCTTGCGCGAGGGGTCTGTGGTGCAGCGTTAGGACGTTAGACTCTAAACCGAGAGGTCGTGGGTTCGATTCTCGCAATGACCAAAAAAAGTAAGTTGTTTTTTCTCCTCATATTTATTTCCCTAATTCGTTTACAAACATGATTTTTCAGTTCTAACGGCTGTTCTGTATAGATCGGGCCCCCCTCTTAGCGCAGCTCCCATATAAGCTACACACCAATACAACAATATGAAACGGTGTCCTCCGCCGGTTTTGTGTAATTAAAGCAGTCCCAGTTCCCAGAATATACACGATTAAAAAATACATGCTTCCCAAATTCAGTTAAGCATGCTCAAACTCGAATTTTTTTAATTTGTCTAATTTTTTAGGGCATTTGCCTTTAAAAACAGAAAATTCGCCCTTAATTTTAGAAAAATACACCTTAAAATTAGGGCAAATCACCCTAAAAAAAGGAAAATATTTCTTATTTCAAGAAAAATCACCCTAAATTAAACCAAATTTCCATCGGGATTTTTTAGAAAATTTTTCTAAATACACGGGCGAATCGCCAGCGGATACGATTTATGGGCGATTTTCTAAATCCACGGGCGAAAAGTCAGTTTTTTAGGGCGATTTAGGGTAAAAATTTCTATGAGTGTAGGAACAATAGGGTGAAATCGGTCAAAATTTGACGTTTTTCAGGATATTTCGCGCAAAATATTAGCTATTCCCATGAAACTTTCCAAATCGTATTTTTTTGTGCGTACCTTCATTAGGGTAAACGCGCGTGCAGATCGGACGTCTATATCCTATAGCTCCCATAGGAACAATAGGGTGAAAAATTTTAAAATTTTATTTTTTCAATTATATAATATTTTGTTGTTTATTAATGCATGTTGCTAGTCTAGTCATGTTTTAATTCGTAAAATCTGCAAGGGTATTAAAACTTCGGCTTGCCGAAGTTAGCTTCCGTCCTCGTTAAAACTATTTTTTGCTCTTGTGTCATGTTTATATTGAAAAGTCTGAGAAGCAACCGAAATATTTAACGATGTCTTAAGATTTTGTAGTGTGCTTCAAATAAAGCATGCTTAGACTTGAGAAATAATTTGTTTTTTGTTTTCTATGCTCTGGAAGCTGGACTGTAGCAATATTGCAATGCTAACGTTGTGTGTTAACAAGGAATCGCAGAAAATATCATTATATCGATAGTATATTAAAATAGTGCGTACAAAATTTAGCTTAGAAGTTGTTTTAACTTTAAACGTTAAAAAAGATATATTTTTTCTAATATTTTATCGAAAACAGGACATTAAATTTATTTTTTTTATATTTTAATTTTTGAAATAGCAAACCTCACGATATATTTGATATGAAATTGATAAATCATATCGGAATTTTTTTCAGATATTTTATCGAAAACATAACATTAAATGTGATTTTTTTATATTTTTATTTTTCAAATATCAAACTTAACGATATTTTAGGTATGAAATTGATAAATATATCAGAATTTGTTTGTCATATTTTTTATTGATAACTTATGATTAGATGTGTTTTTTTTTGTATTTTAATTTTTGAAATATCAATCTTAACGATATTTTCGATATGAAATTGATAAATCATATCGGAATTTTCCTACTGATTTTTATCGTTACTCCTTGCACAAACTTAACCGAAATTGTTTTTCTCTTTTCCTTAGGGGTCACCACCACCACGTTCTGTGCGCTGGAAACAATGCGAACCACACGTGCTGCCTGGTCACGGGCTGCAACGGCAGCTCTGCCGGCGGAGCGGGCGTGACCGGAAGCGGAGGCGCCGGCGGCACAGCTGGGGGCGGCGGAGCGGCCTGCAAGGAGGCGCAGAGCAGCAAAGACACCAGCTCGCTGAGCGGCAACAGCAGCGTCGCCGGCAGCACGGGAGCGGGAAATGCGGTGCACTATTGCTGCGGCCGATCCAAGTTCTTCCTGCCGGAGAAGCGGCTGCGCAAGGAGGTGATTGTGCCGCCCACGAAATTCCTGCTGGGCGGCAACATCTCCGATCCCCTCAACCTTAATTCGCTGCAGAACGAGAACACGTCAAATGCCTCGTCCAGCAACAACACGCCGGCGACCACGCCCCGCCAGTCGCCCATTACCACGCCCCCGAAGGTGGAGGTGATCATACCGCCCAACATCCACGATCCGCTGCACCTGCTGGATCCCGTTGATTCGATGGAGTACGAGAAGCAGCTCACGTCGCCGATGAAGCGGGGAGGAGGAGGGGGTGGTATGCTGCACCACCGGCAGCACCACCACCGCACGCGAAAGAACCGCAAGCGTCGGCGCTTCGACTCCAACAACACCTCGCATGCCGGCGACGAAGGGGGAGGAGGGGGCGGCGTGGGCGAACTGACCGACGAACCTACGACGCAGCCCACAGCCAGCTCATCGCTGGCGGCGTCGCCGGTGGCAGCGGCGCCCCTCAACGTCGGCGGCAGCTTGCTGCTGAGCGAATCCGCTGCTCCGGCCGCGGGCGAAACGGCGGAAACGGGCCACCAGCAGCAGCTGGCGCATGTGCGCTCTCCCCAAGCGTCGGCATCAGCAGCGGCGGCAGAGATGCCCACGCCGACGCCGACCGAGGCAGCGGCAGAGGCTACTCCGGCCGAGGAGCAAGTGGAACAGGCTGCGTCGGCGCCGGCAGCGACGTCATCGCCCCAACGGCCCCAGCAACATGTGGCCGCTGCCGCGGAAGAAGCCACTCACGACGCCACTGCTGCTGCTGCTGCGTTGCCCGCCGCTTCTGAGCCGCCGGGAGAGGAGGAGATGCTGCTCAGTTGCTCGGCCACGTCGGCCACACTGGCGGTCGCGTCGACGCTGGCAGAGCGGCGGGCGCAGGCCAGCCGGGACCTGCGTCTGGACCTGTCGAGCACGTGCTACGGCGTCGGAGGCACGGGGCTGAGCTTTGGCGGCAGCAGCACTGCCAGCGTGGGCAGCGGAGGAGGCGGTGGGAGGAAGAGAAAAATCAGCGAGAGCAACAATTCGCAAAAGAGCAAGGTGAGTGCGGGTGAAACGAGGTGGGAATGTGGTGGGAACGAAATCGGGTTTAAGATAGAGAGAGGACAGAGAGTCTGTCGGACTGGAGGAGGAGGAGGAAAAAAAGAGAGCGAGTTGTTGTTGCGGTTTGTCAGCAAGTCAATCGCTGCTTTTGTTTTGATTGCTTTTGGCAGTTTTCCGTTTGCCGATTTCAGTGTGTTGGCTTTGGTAATTTGTTTTTGTCTTTCCACCGGATAATCAAGGGTATATATAGCTTCGTATATTAATATAAAAATGTCCGCCAGATCTTCAAATTCAGTTATAATTCAAACACTTTTAGTTAAAAATATACTCACACGATATTTCATATTTCATAGAATAAAGTAATGTATGTCAAAATTAACTATTTATAAAAATCCCCAAGAAAAACTCTTTTAAAATAACTTTAGGCAAAAAATGTTAATACAATATCCTCTAAATATTCAGCGACAAAAGCAACTCATTAAATATTTATTTTATTACAAGGATTCCTCTTCCATTTTGCTCCCAATTCGGTTAAGATGTCAGGGGCGATTTAACGAATAAGATCTCAGGACAGAAGAACCCCATTCCCATCACGATTTTTTAATAATTATCTTTTTATCTCGCCCAACCGTAGAAATTTCATCGCCACGATGCCATGGATAAGATCGTCAGTCCGGTGGTTCCGCAACCAGGTGCCTGGAAGCGACCGCCCCGCATCCTGCAGCCCAGCGGAGCTAGGAAGCCAAACACGCGAAGGTCTACGTCCTTCAGCGAATCGGAGCTGCTCAGTCCCGTGGAGGAGGTGCCGCCCAAACAGCTGCCCCTCATCGAAGGTAAGTCTGCTTATCTCTGATATAGAATCCCAGTTTTAATGCTAAATTCTCTGCCCTTCAGTTGAGATACCCCGTGACGACACTCCCGATTTGCCTGAACACGGACTGGGCAGTCCAATGAGCACCACTTCGGCGGCCACCTCGCACACGGCCGGTGAGCAGGATTCCCTGGCCGGGGCGGATACAAGCATGGCGGATGCCTCGGCGGTTCAGGTCCCAGCGACCAGCACTCTGATGCTGGAACCGGCGCTGATTCCTCCGCTCAAACTGCAGCCCAAATTCCGAGCCGATGGACTAAAGTATAGGTACGGCAACTTCGATCGCTACGTGGACTTCCGGCAGTTGAACGAATTCCGGGACGTGCGGCTACAGGTGTTCCAGCGCCATGTGGAACTGTTCCAGAACAAGGACATCCTGGACATTGGCTGCAACGTTGGCCACATGACCATCACGGTGGCCAGGCATCTGGCCCCAAAAACCATTGTCGGCATCGACATTGACCGGGAGCTAGTGGCCCGAGCACGGAGGAATCTGTCAATCTTTGTGCGCATACCCAAGGAGGAGAAGCTGCCGGAGGTCAAGGTAGAACCAATGCTGGAGGTCAAGACGGAGAAAGCGGAAGAGGAGGCTTCTGCTGCGGCCCACAAGAAGACGCGACGCGGAAAGAAGAGACGCAAGGTTCAACAAGGACTCCAGCAGCACCATCACCACCATCATCATCATCATCAGGATCTGGAACAGCTGCAGCAGCAACAGAAGCTGGACGCGCTGCTTGTCAAGCCCCACGAATTCTTCCCCATCTCGTTTCCGCTCACCTACGGCGGAATACCCCATTTGCCAGCAACGAGCAAATCGCCAAACATGTTCGCCAACAAGAATCTGTTCCCGGCGAACGTCTTCTTCCGGCACACCAACTATGTGCTCAAGGACGAGTCGTTAATGGCCAACGATTCGCAGCAATACGATCTCATACTGTGTCTCTCGGTCACCAAGTGGATCCATCTCAACTTTGGGGATAACGGGCTGAAAATGGCCTTTAAGCGGATGTTCAACCAGCTACGTCCCGGTGGAAAGCTGATACTCGAGGCCCAGAATTGGGCCAGCTACAAGAAAAAGAAGAACCTGACGGTGGGTAATTTATTAACCTTTCTCTAATATCACTTTATAACGTTTATGTATTATCTTTGCAGCCAGAGATCTTGAACAACTACAAGCAGATCGAGTTCTTCCCCAACAAGTTCCATGAATACTTGCTCAGCTCGGAGGTGGGATTCAGCCACAGCTATACTCTCGGCGTACCAAGGCACATGAACAAAGGCTTCTGCCGACCCATCCAGGTGAGAAATTAATAATTTATTAATTTAACGGGTGAATCAACGAGTCTTTCTTTTGTTTTATATTTAAAAGAGTATAGATTTCTATTAAATGTTAACAGTTTTACTAACAGTTACAGTTTTTTGACTCGCACACTTTTGTTGAAAACACATTGTGTAAAAAACACCTTGTGTTTTTTCACACGGCGTGTTAATAACACGTTGTGTTAGACACGCAAGTCGGCTGTGTGTGCTAACAATTATTTTTTACAATTTACACTTTTGTATTTGACACACATGTCAAGAACTTTGCTCACACTGTAAAATACAATTTTTCATGTTTTTAACATGTGTGTCAAATTCCGAACCCTGTTAATAAAACGGTACTAACAGTTACAGTTTTTTTTACTCTCACACTTTTGAAGTTAAAAACACATCGTGTTAAAAACACATTGTGTAAAAAACACGGCGTGTTAATAACACGTTTTGTTAAAAATACAATTATTTTTGACATTTTTGACACACTGTAAAATACAATTTTTAATGTTTTTAACATGTGTGTCAAATTTCGAACCCTGTTAATAAAACGGAATTCTAGAACTTTACCTAACTCTTACCTCTTCTTTTTCATCCGAATAGCTGTACGCCAAGGGAGATTATACCCCGAATCATGTGCGTTGGAGCGATGCTTACTATCCGCAGACCCCGTATGAGGCCTATCGCGGCATCTACGCCACTTTGCCCGCCCATCGGATGGGTGGCGGCGGAAGCAGCGCAGGCGGTAGCCACAGTGGGCACGCGCACATGCTGCACCTCAGCAGCTCCAGTCGGTCGCAGAACTACGATACGCCGCACTATGCTGGCAGCGCCTCGGGCTCGGCCAGTTGCCGGCAGACGCCGATGTACCAGCCCACCTACAACCCCCTGGAGACGGACTCCTACCAGCCCAGCTACGACATGGAGTATCTCAACCACATGTACGTGTTCGCCTCGCCGCTCTACCAGACCGTCTGGTCGCCGCCGGCCTCGCTGCGCAAGAGCAGCTCGCACACGCCGGTATTCGGGAGCGTGCGCGAAGCGGAGCTGGACGGCGATGGCAGCGGGGGAGGCGGGAGTGGGGGCGGCAGCTACCACCGGCACGTCTATCCGCCCAACGATGACACCTGCTCGCCGAACGCCAACGCTTGCAATGCATTCAACTCAATACGCGACGCTGACACGGATGATTCTAACCAGCTGCCGGGGGGAAGTCGCAGGCATGTGTACGCCACCAACTGCGGGGAGAGCTCCTCGTCGCCGCAGGTTAATCACCACGAGGCGGCCGGCGAGTTTGTGGACTCACTGATGGACGATGAGCAGAAGTCCTCGGCTGATCTGTCGGATGCCTAGAATAGGGATGCTTCTTTGGGCTTTGGGAAAAATGTGTCAAAAAGAAAAAAACAAAAAAAAACGAAAAAGCTTAAGAGAACCACAAGGGGTTTTCGAAAAGAAAAAAAATCAATGTAACCGTAAACGAGACGCTTATGATTTTCTATGGTATAATATGTGCGTAAATATTTTTATATATCGTAATTTAATGGAAAGAATATATATACAAATATATATACAGATCTATATATACATTTTGAACAGAGATGCATGTGTTTAGGTATATTGTAATCTTTATAGATATAGATAAGGCTAACCATTTTTGCTAAAACGCTTTATAGTGAACACTTGATTTGATCCTGTTGGCAGTTCAATTGTAATCCTAGTTTTAAAACCACCATAAGCAATACAAACACAAACACGCTCACACGTATACACCACCTACATATGTATGCAGGCACACCCACCAACACTCACTCACTCACACATACGACAAGCCGTAGCTTTAAATAATATAATATATTGTGCTAAAAGAATGTTTAGGAAACGTGAAAAATCCCATGAAATTGAACTATTTTTGATTAACTTTTGGCAAAGCAAAAAAAAAGGAAAATGGAATGCTGTAAGGGAATGTGAAAACAAAAATGAAATAAAGCAAACACAATGGCAAAGCAAAAAATACATTATTATATTTACTCCTAAGCAAGTGAGAGAACGCTTAAAGTTATTTACATTAGGTTCGAGCCTTTAAGCAGTGGTTATAGCTAAGCAAGTGTAGCATTAAATTTACCATTTGATCAATAGCAAAAAACGATCTTTTCCTAACCCTTGTCTACCTTGTAATTGGTAGGCGGAATTTATGAGTTTTCTCTTTCCTATGTTTTTGAAACATTTTAATGGAATATTTAATTTTTTCTGAGAAAATAAAAATTAATGTAGTCAAAGAAAATACAAAAAGATCTATATATAGAAATAAAACATTATATTGAACATTTTCGACAAAAGTATCTTTTTATTTGATGGGAGATCACGGGTGTTCAACAAATGAATTCGAAATCTTAGACGTTGCGAAGTGGCATCAAGGTATCCTTAAACATTACTCATACGACACGTATAACATTTCGAATTTAGTCGAACAATAATCCTCTTATCGTCAATTTATGAATTTCGTTGAAATAATTGGTTTAAAAAAAGGAGACCAAAAAAACAGATGTGTGGTTGAAATTAGATCCCAGCATGATTAACATAACTTTTTGATTGAAGGCAGCAGTGCGTATGAGTGATACAATTTTAAGACATTTCGCAGACCCCAAAACAAATTTTTTTCAAATGATTGTGAGAGTACACACAAACAAATTTTATTGGTAAAATTTACCTAAATAAAACTATGAAACTAGCCGTTATATTATTTTTTTTGTTTTTCAAACCACATTATAATTCTTTATACGATTTTTGGGCACCTGAATAAAAACTCGTGCAATTTTTACAGCTATTTTTTGAATTTCAACGGCCCATTTGACAGTTTAAAGACCGATCTTCGTATTAAAGTTCCCGGATCAGCTGATCGATAGTCGTGTTCAATTTCTCTCGCATCACAAGCTTTTCGGGCCAAAGCTCACTCTCAAAATGCCAGGCAGGTCAGTCAAGTCGGGAGAAGTGAGTTGTGCAGCGCGTGGAAACGGGAAGCATTAATTGCAATTAAGCAAGAACTTACAAAATAAACTGAACATTTGTCAGTTGTTCATATTGTGTAGTGAGAAATGCTGAAAGGCGAAGAACGCGTGCCAGGCTTAAGTTGCTTTCTCTCTGACGCATTCTTCGAGTGAGAAATCTGATCGACACATTTCCATGATCGCCTGGCTCTTTCGCTCAGTCTCGAATTTGACTTTTAGCGACGCTGGTCGACGCTCTGCTCTCTCTCTCGGCAAACAGAAAACGGTCACAAGCACAGATTTCAAGTTTGAGGAGAAGGTCTCCTTCAAAATCAATAAATAAGAGTGTCGAGATAAAAGTGTGTGTGTGCGCGATTGATTAACATTTTAATATTTCTGAAATGATTTTCATATGTGTACAAAGTAAAGTGTTTGTGTGGCGCCTCAATTGAATTGGTTTTATTGCGTTAATTATCGGAGTGCCAAGCGTGATACATACAAACGCACAAAAATATATATGTGCATACACTTAACCCACTGCCCAAGAGTCTGGATCGAAGTGTGAGTTATTCACCGTTAGGACTTGGAGCTCGAGAAGTTGAATCAGATCTTCTGGCATCGGAATACGAATTTCAATTGTTTGCATCAACTACATAAATGTGAGTGCTAATAAACCTAAATTGTTGCCTTAATTGTTTCTATCATATGTTGCAAATCGCAGTATAATGCTTATAAATTGATAAACGGTTTTGTAACCTTCAGTGTAAATTCAGATTGTGCAAGAGGATTCCCAAACAAAGTGCTTTCTTTTCGAGTTTAAGTAAATATTTGGGGAGAAAGGGCGTGGAAGTAAACTTATTGCACGTGATTTCGATAAGTCTCCATAAAAGCCATATCGAAGGCGACAAGAAATCCATAAGTACCATATAAGCTCTATAAATAGGGATCGGGGCTTATGAAATATTGAGTCTTGCAAATAACTTCGCAATTTCAAAAAGCTTTTGTTACAACAAGATGCAAGTTCTCACCCAACCAGATTTATTCTAGAACTGCACCTGAAAATTATAAGTACATATATTTACATATTTCATGAAAAACAAGTTTTGAAATTTAAAGTTTTTGGTTAAACGATTCCTTTGGACTAAATTCTAACTTAAATTCTAAAATTAAATTTACCATTTGATCAATAGCAAAAAACGATCTTTTCCTAACCCTTGTCTACCTTGTAATTGGTAGGCGGAATTTATGAGTTTTCTCTTTCCTATGTTTTTGAAACATTTTAATGGAATATTTAATTTTTTCTGAGAAAATAAAAATTAATGTAGTCAAAGAAAATACAAAAAGATCTATATATAGAAATAAAACATTATATTGAACATTTTCGACAAAAGTATCTTTTTATTTGATGGGAGATCACGGGTGTTCAACAAATGAATTCGAAATCTTAGACGTTGCGAAGTGGCATCAAGGTATCCTTAAACATTACTCATACGACACGTATAACATTTCGAATTTAGTCGAACAATAATCCTCTTATCGTCAATTTATGAATTTCGTTGAAATAATTGGTTTAAAAAAAGGAGACCAAAAAAACAGATGTGTGGTTGAAATTAGATCCCAGCATGATTAACATAACTTTTTGATTGAAGGCAGCAGTGCGTATGAGTGATACAATTTTAAGACATTTCGCAGACCCCAAAACAAATTTTTTTCAAATGATTGTGAGAGTACACACAAACAAATTTTATTGGTAAAATTTACCTAAATAAAACTATGAAACTAGCCGTTATATTATTTTTTTTGTTTTTCAAACCACATTATAATTCTTTATACGATTTTTGGGCACCTGAATAAAAACTCGTGCAATTTTTACAGCTATTTTTTGAATTTCAACGGCCCATTTGACAGTTTAAAGACCGATCTTCGTATTAAAGTTCCCGGATCAGCTGATCGATAGTCGTGTTCAATTTCTCTCGCATCACAAGCTTTTCGGGCCAAAGCTCACTCTCAAAATGCCAGGCAGGTCAGTCAAGTCGGGAGAAGTGAGTTGTGCAGCGCGTGGAAACGGGAAGCATTAATTGCAATTAAGCAAGAACTTACAAAATAAACTGAACATTTGTCAGTTGTTCATATTGTGTAGTGAGAAATGCTGAAAGGCGAAGAACGCGTGCCAGGCTTAAGTTGCTTTCTCTCTGACGCATTCTTCGAGTGAGAAATCTGATCGACACATTTCCATGATCGCCTGGCTCTTTCGCTCAGTCTCGAATTTGACTTTTAGCGACGCTGGTCGACGCTCTGCTCTCTCTCGGCAAACAAAAAACGGTCACAAGCACAGATTTCAAGTTTGAGGAGAAGGTCTCCTTCAAAATCAATAAATAAGAGTGTCGAGATAAAAGTGTGTGTGTGCGCGATTGATTAACATTTTAATATTTCTGAAATGATTTTCATATGTGTACAAAGTAAAGTGTTTGTGTGGCGCCTCAATTGAATTGGTTTTATTGCGTTAATTATCGGAGTGCCAAGCGTGATACATACAAACGCACAAAAATATATATGTGCATACACTTAACCCACTGCCCAAGAGTCTGGATCGAAGTGTGAGTTATTCACCGTTAGGACTTGGAGCTCGAGAAGTTGAATCAGATCTTCTGGCATCGGAATACGAATTTCAATTGTTTGCATCAACTACATAAATGTGAGTGCTAATAAACCTAAATTGTTGCCTTAATTGTTTCTATCATATGTTGCAAATCGCAGTATAATGCTTATAAATTGATAAACGGTTTTGTAACCTTCAGTGTAAATTCAGATTGTGCAAGAGGATTCCCAAACAAAGTGCTTTCTTTTCGAGTTTAAGTAAATATTTGGGGAGAAAGGGCGTGGAAGTAAACTTATTGCACGTGATTTCGATAAGTCTCCATAAAAGCCATATCGAAGGCGACAAGAAATCCATAAGTACCATATAAGCTCTATAAATAGGGATCGGGGCTTATGAAATATTGAGTCTTGCAAATAACTTCGCAATTTCAAAAAGCTTTTGTTACAACAAGATGCAAGTTCTCACCCAACCAGATTTATTCTAGAACTGCACCTGAAAATTATAAGTACATATATTTACATATTTCATGAAAAACAAGTTTTGAAATTTAAAGTTTTTGGTTAAACGATTCCTTTGGACTAAATTCTAACTGAAATACGAGTCGTATGAGTAATGTACATTTGTCCTCATTGTTTGTGGATATTTTAACAGGAAAGCATTGGCTCGTTTTCACAGTATGCAACATTAGTATACACCCCTGAGAATTTTATTATTGCGAATCAGTCCTTCTTAAAATGCTAAAATAATTTTTTTTTTGTAAGAATTTTCTTAAAACTTTATTTTGTTGCTAAAGTGAAGAAACGCATTTGTATTTTCCGGAAGTAAATTTGCACGAGTTTAATGCAAACGGATCATCGGTAATGATGCGTTATAGCTTATGTCGTTAGAATTGGGCAAGCGTGTCGTATGAGTAATTTTTAAGGACACTTCAGGTCCAACGCCTAAATATTAAAATAAAAATTTAAACTTTTTAAACCACATTCTTATTACAAGAAAAATACCATATTTAAGGGTGAGCTATTGATATACATATATTCAAAATATATGTTCAAAATTTTAGAAATTGAAGTTAAGAAATTCAGCATTATCTCAACTGGCGACAATGTGTGGATCTATAAACCTAAAAGTCACCCTGTATATTAATATCAGCCGTGGTGTCTTTAAGCACTTATCTTATCTGAGCGTAAAGTTTGCAAGTGTGATTTAGCTTATTTTGCGTTAAAATAATCAAACTTCGAAGCTTCAGAACTGAAACTAGTTAATTGTATGTTGGTTATTGTCTAACCACCATTATTAGATCACAAGTTCGATATGTAAATATCTGGTTGCGTTATACAATGCATATTGGCAGAGCATTTAAAGTGCCTCGACTAACAGATACTCATTTCTCAGTCAAAGGGGAGTGTGAGGGAGATGGTATATCTGCATTAAAAATCCAACTTTTCGAAATCAAAATCATCTATAACTTATTGAAATCTCTTTTAGTTGTTATGACCCGAAATAGGGGCCACTAAATTATGTTGTTGACATTTAATACCCCGCGTGGGCCAATCTAATCGAAAGCATAATTGTAATTCGATTTATTTAGCCTGTGGTTCTCATTGGGGCTGTACAAATAATGAGTGCTGATTACAGCGATTGCGCCCGAGTCTAGTGGTGCTGATAAGATAGCCGACAATAGATACAAAGGCAGGGTTACATGCTCTTTTTAAGTGGGGTTGTGACTCATGGTCCGACAATAGAACCCGTACTCGATCGGCATTTCGAAAAGGTTTGTGAACCCCGCAGAAAGCTTTGAAAAGCTTAATGCCTTTGGCAATATTCTTTTGACGAACTGGTTCTAGCGTTTTGTAGATGACCTTGTGACCAGAGCGCCGGGGAATAGTTTTGCATAACATCTTAGGATCGTCAGTGTTTTTTTTTGGTATCGAATCGCATAGCCCAATGTTTGGGGGGATTACGAAAAGCTTTGCCAGCTGTTTTGGAGCTAGCAGCTGTTACCAGAAAACTCCGCTCTCGTTCCCCAAGCTTGCGGCACTGGCGCTCTCTTCTTAACCGTTAACCGTATTGAGCGAGCGGAGCGGAGCGGCACAAGCTTTGGCCAGCGGTGCGAAGTTTAGTTAATATTATTAAGCGGAGTGACGGCAACGTTGTCGCAACGTTTCTCGTGGATCGCCGTCGATCGTTGGTACGAAGAGCTTTTTGGCGGGGGCTCAGCCTGTGTGAGTGCGAGGTGTCTTCGGTGTTCTCGGTGTTCTCCATTCTTCCATTTCGCGTGGCATTTCTCTCTTTCTTTCTTGGCGATTTTAATGCGACGTCGCGCTAATTTCGGTTCTGCAACTTCCGTTAGATGGCGGCCTGAAAAGTAAACAAAAACTCTACTTATCACACGCAAACGTGACAATACCGCAGTGAATCTCCGACTTAATTTATATGCATCTGTGAGATAAGAAGATACAAATTGTAGATTCGAAAACCGCACATGCTGCTCGCAAAAAAATTAAGACACAATTACGGGCCATTTTACTTTGATGAAGCCAAAGCCAAGTGCCAAAAGTGAAATATGCGAAAGCCGAAAATATCCCAATAATTTGTGCGTGTGTTCGTTGGCCATTGTGCAAAAACATTTATGAGCTGGAAGCGCCAAAAGCCAAATACGAATGAAATATAAACAACACACGGAACATTCAGTGCCTTGTTGTATTTGCAAAACTCGGGTTTTGTGTTTACGCAAAGATAACGAAATGCCTTGATAAAAATTTAATTAATTATTTTTCAATGCAAGGGATTTTTGATGTGGCCGGAAGAGAGAACTAAGTGAATAAAGTCGATTTTAAAAGAAATAAAGCCTTCCAGAAATGTTCCTTTTAAAAAAATTTTTTTTTTATTTAATTTTTATAATTAAGCCCCCAAGGCACCTCCATCAGTCATTCCCTTTTATCAATTGGTTTACGAAAATACGGTATTTATAATTTCGGATTTAATTAGCCACCGCAGGCCGCCAGAACCGACATCGTTTACAAATGCAAGACCGCGGATGCCAATGCAAAAATGAGCTGGAGCACCTATAAAACCAAAATCCGATTGCCAAAAATAAATTAGAGAGCCAACTTAGTTTGCCCATTGAAATTACGCATATTCAGCAACGATGGCCAAGACCGCGGATACAAAATCCGGCCGCAACGATGAGTCGCAGCAGTTGCAAATGCCCCCAGAGGCGGCGGCGTTGGGCGCCAATTTGCAGCATTTACAGGTGCGACGTCATCGCCGTAGCATCTCACAGCTGATGGCCAGCATGGGTAATGTCTGATCTAGAGATAGAGACATGTATATCTACATAAGCCATAGATTAGTAATCTCTTGACGCGGCAGCGAATTGTCGAGATTTTGCGTCACCGGGGGATGAGATAACACTGGACTAGTTTGTGGAATAATATCTTCAACCTTTCAAACTGGTTAGCGTTCTATTTTAATACGTGAAAATTAAAAGAATTTGCATTAGTTCAGTTGAAGGAGTGCTAGAATAATGGGTGTGTAGTCCAAGGAAAACCAAAATAATTCAGACAACAAAGAACTGATAACGGTTCAAAATTGCCTTAACAATAAATTAACAAAACATTAACCATTTCCTTTGCGTTATATAAGCCACCACCGACTTCTTGCGCCTCCAATTGCGTGTTGGGCGTAACGGTGCCATTAGTAAATGACTCATAACCGACTTTAAAATGCATGACACGCCAAAAGCAACTACACTTACCCATAATGTTATAAATATATTGTGCCTAATTTACATTTGCACTCACACTCGAATATTGCAACAGGAAGTTTCGATTTCTTCGCCATTGTGTGTAGGTCAGGTGGAATAATCGCTCGTTGGGTGTAAAGACCTTTTCAGGGGGACCGTTTTTACCAGTTGCACACAAATTACAACACCCACTAAACAAAGGAGATTCAAAAATTATTGTGCTCGGTCTTTGAACTTACATTAAAACCATTATCAATAGGGGATTTCAACATTTCTGTGAAAAGATAAGTATTATTAGTAAGAAATGTATGGTGCCTTTATACTTGGTGTTACTTTGAACACTGATAACGGCCCTCTAGCCTTTAATCAGGTTTAAACTAGCAGGAACTAGCAGATGATATAATCATTACCTTTATCATTGGGGCTTTGAACTCAGGACCTGTTTTGGTGTTTTTTAATTTATAGGTTTCTATGTTGTAAAACCTATTTTCCACTTTAATCCGTTATCAATTAAAAGAAACCTTGACATTCTTGTGGATGGAATTTTTATATTTGTTGGTGCAGATAAAAATCTATATAATTGTCAAAAAAAATTTTTTTTACTATTTATCTTATCCCAATAGCAAAAAAAAGTGTCAAAGGCTTATAAATTTTATAGCTTTTTGAGTTAATTTACTCAGCTAAACGAATGTGCTAATGAATTTAGCAAAGAAATCGTTATGAAAGTGAAAAGGTGCTAAGAATTCGAAGTGTTTCATTGAATAGGTTGTTACATTTTATTAGACCCTCTTTATTTTCGCATAGTGAGGGAGGTGACCCAATGTATAGGTAATAATAATTTTATATCCGTAATATCCTTAGTTATTGAATCGGCAACTAATCAAAAGAACTTTTCATATTTTCCAAATTACTTTATTTTCCCGGTTTTATCAGACATCTAAGAATGCCCAGCTATACGAAGAACTGTTATTTCTGGCACTCGCGGTCAGAAGTTTTTGTTTGGTAATTTCGTGCTGATAACAATAAGAGCTTCGTGATAAGGCAAATGCCAACTGGTTATTTTCGCTACCTAAAACAAAACGATTTCAATTATACTTCCAAGAATGAGTGGCGGCCAGTCGAACTAGCCCATAAAAAAGTCGGGGTTTATGGCGAATTTCAATAAGACTTTGATGGCACCCATGAAGATAGGGTCTCGTACACACAAAAAAATTTGCTTGGTAAAATTGACCAACAAAGATAGTTACGTAACTATTAAAATAATTACGTGTATTTTGTTTTTGCTTTGGGTTTGTGTCTTTGCTAATTGTGTGTATTTTGTTGTTGTGAAATGACAATTTACTTAGTAGAATTGACAATTTTGCTAGTTGGGGCCTGTTTGACAATTATTACAGTTGATTTTACCAAGTTTTTTTTTTGTGTGTACTGTTCCCCTGATGCTATGGAACACGGACAGCGCTAGTCAAAACTTTTGCACTCGGCGTCCTAATTTTTTTTATTTTCAGAAGTGAGAAGGCGATTACGATGAATGCATATCAATATAATATGTTGCAATATGTACCTTCTTATCTTGGATGTGTTATTGGATGCACCCTATTATCTTTGATTACATACGACAAAACAATAGACCTACTTTTAATATTATAATGTAAAAGAGAAGATAACAGTAATCAAGATATTCGAATATACATTTACAAATAAATTTTGTATTTTGTTTTGTATATACACACAAAAAAAAAACTTAGTAAAATCAACTGTAATAATTGTCAAACAGGCCCCAACCAGCAAAATTGTCAATTCTACTAAGTAAATAGTCATTTCACAACAACAAAATACACACAATTAGCAAAGAGACAAACCCAAAGCAAAAACAAAATACACGTAACTATTTTAATAGTTACATAACTATCTTTGTTGGTCAATTTTACCAAGCAAATTTTTTTGTGTGTACATTTTTTTAATGGAAATATTTGTCTAACTGCAGGAGCTTGAATTCCTGCAGATAAGAGTATAATGTGTCTGTATGGAGGACACCTGTTATTAACTGATAATCAAAGTACTTGACTAAATACTGATTTATGTAGTTTATTACTGTCGTCGATAACGGGACGCACTTCTCTAGGTGCTCTTTTGCCAAGCAATGCCACATCCATAAACCCACTTAATCATCAATGTATGGTTCTACCTACTGTGCACTATACCCTAATCTATCTATTGCGACTTTTTATTTAGGTTTGCTATCTAAATGTCATTCGGGTGGAAGCGTAATTCCGAACTAAAAATATGGAGGTGTTACCCTGAAGAATAGATTGATGTGAAATGATAATCGATCTTTATCTCTAACTATGCATTAAACTTTCTATATCCCCCTGTAATGTGGGTTTTTGGGGAAGGGAAATAAATAAGTATATTTCTTATCAGTCGGTAGACGATTCACGTGCACTTAACTGAAAAGAGATGGCGTTTTGTATACTCAGCTCGAAATGGCTTCAAGGTTCGAGCAGGGTTCCTATGTCAAGTTCACCCCAGTTGTACTGAAATGAAGTAAACTTAACTACACCACATGTCGTAAGTTTTGACCTTGGGTGAGCTTTTGTTTTGAATGGAGATAACGAGCGCTAATTGTTACGATTTAATTGTTATAACTTACAGGCGTTGAGGGAAGCCAGAAATTCTTTAGCTGGAAACTCAAAATTCCCTATGCACACAACGAAGTTATCAGTGGTTGAGCCACGGGGGGGAAATTGAGAACGATAACAGTGGAACTCCCATTCAAACCTTCATCAGCCGAGTAAAAATTCAAATGAACGACCCTTTTAGTTAGAAAAATAAATATGTTTTTTATCAAAATGTTTTGCGCTTAAAACAAAGTCCCTTTCCTCAATTAAAATGAGGTCATGGAACAATTAAACCAGCCAATTTTAACAAGAAAGCGAACTACTTTTTGTCATTCATAAAAACATAAATAAACTTTAAGAGTATAATAAAATTTTTACTGAATACAAAACTCCTAGAGGCATAGAACGTTTTTTCTAAATACTTATTATGCATCCTTTTAACTTTTTGGTATACGTTTAGATCAGCGTGAGCATAGGGAATGTATCTGCCCATCCTTTGCCAGCTTTCGTAAACTGTAGAACAGCGATTTTAACACACACATCGAAGACCTGCCCCGTTCAAAATACTCACACAAATATTGTCGACCGATGTTTTAGATTAATGTACCTCTTGTTATGATTAACCATCAATTTAATTCTGGGGCTAGTGCTACGTCACTATCTACATTTGTTACCGGAACCTACTTATTTATATTTAGGGCCCTCATCATTGGTTTTTATTCTGGATAACTTTTAGAAATACAATCCCTTAAACACACCTACTTAAATGAATTGTTCTTCTAATCTTTTACCATTTCTTTGACCGTCTTTTGTTTTTGCAGTTGAATACCCCACGGACGATGTGTACCGGCCGACGCACTATGCCGGCTACGTGAACAGAGGCTACGATGATATAGACAGTTCCTATTACTTTGCCCAGTTCGAGGCGATGGCAGAGGTTCGCGGCGGGGCTTCGGCCCTTCCACCCTACACAACTACAGACTCGGACGTGGAACACGGTAGCGGGGAAGCGGAAGCCTCGGCGGAGGACTCCAACATCGAGGACGAGGAAGAGGTGATCCGGGATTGCACGGACGATGCGGTGGCCGAGCAACAGAATCGCTGCCTGCCAGAGTTTCAGTTCTCGTTGGTCGACTCCGAGTACGACGAGACTCTGGCCTTTCCCGATTCGGTGACCATCCTGTCCAACGTGGGCGACAAGCCGGTGCTGGTGGAGCGCAAGGAGACGGACGACGATGAGGAGGAGTTCGACGACGAGGAGAACAACAGCGTGGTGTTGCGCCACGAGATACCATTTACCAGTATCTATGGACCGAGCGTCAAGTTCAACTCGTTCCAGCGCAAGGTCTTCATTCCGGGCCGTGAGATTCACGTTCGGATCGTCGATACGGAGCGCAGCGTAACAACACATCTGCTGAATCCCAACCTGTGAGTTTAAACGATGTTAAGCAGAATTGGAAGTGGAAGATTGTCCGTTAAAAACATTTAGAAACATTTATTTTGGATAGTTTTCCGTAGAATCTTACAAATATATTTTGATATATATTTTTACGTAGAAACGAAGAATTCGTTTACTGTAACTGACTGTAAAGTAACCGTAATAAATGTCCGACGGACATTGTCCGTACATCTGTCCGTAACGTCTGTCCGTAACGTCTGTCCGTAACGTCTGTCCGTAACGTCTGTCCGTAACGTCTGTCCGTAACGTCTGTCCGTTCGTCTATCCCACCGTTTCTATGCAAACTAAGGCGTTAGTTAGAAAGCTATTCAAACAAAACTGTTTCAAAAGTCTTTTTCTATTAATGTAGATTTCTTATATACAAGGAAAACTTCGATTAAATTTAAGGACTATTCTGGTTTGTCTTATTTTACAATTTCAAATCAACATGTTGATAAACACATTACTAATCGCATTCACTTTTTTGACTGCTCAGGTACACAATCGAACTGACCCATGGCCCCTTCAAATGGACGATCAAGCGGCGTTACAAGCATTTCAACTCGTTGCACCAGCAGCTCAGCTTCTTCCGCACCTCGCTCAACATTCCCTTTCCCAGTCGCAGTCACAAGGAAAAGCGTACCACGCTGAAAGCCACCGCCAGTCAAATGGCCGACGAGTCCACCCTCAAGGATCTGCCTGCCCACACCAAAGTCAAGCAGACCAGCACTCCGGTGAGTGGCGAAGGTCACAGCAGCAAAAACGCCAACAGCAATGGTAACAATGCCATGGCCATCATAAGTCCCAGTCACAGCTCGATCCTGGCGGGATTTACACCTCGAAGGATCCAGAAGAAGCGCAAAAAGAAGAAGAAACGGAAGCTACCGCGATTCCCCAACCGTCCGGAGAGTCTGGTCACCGTGGAGAATCTGACTGTGAGGATCAAGCAGTTGGAGGACTACCTATACAACCTGCTAAACATCAGTCTGTACCGATCTCATCACGAAACGGTAAGAGGCAACTAGAACGTTGTGGAATATATTTAATAAGGCAGAAGGAAAATGGATATAAGAAATATGAAATCTTAAGATTCTATATAATCAACTATTTAATTGACTATTAGGAACTTATCACTTATGGATGGCCTAGAAAAATAAATAGATAAATGATTATCGAAATCTAGAACAAATAGTTAATTAGAAGCAATCTGAATAAGAAATATGAAATCTTACGACTCAGTGCAAAAATATAAAACAAGTAGGAAACCTATAAATAAATTTAATTTTACCAGATAACAAAACATAGACAGATGATAATCCAAATTTAGAATAATTAGTTAATCAGAATCAAGTCCAAAAATAAGGTCACCATGTAAAACAAGAAAAAAATATATATTTGATGGCCTCGACTATCAGCTACTCATTACTTCTTGAACAGTTGTTAAATAAATTTTTCACTAGGATGGCAGAGAACCAAAAATAGTTATATAGATAATAATCTAAATCGAAAGTTTTGTAGCCTATAATACAGAGTGTAGAATATGTCTAATCATCTAAATGTTCTTTTCTACAGCTGAACTTCGTTGAGGTGTCCAACGTATCCTTTGTGCCAGGCATGGGTATCAAGGGCAAGGAGGGCGTGATTTTAAAGAGAACTGGATCGACGAGACCGGGACAAGCGGGATGCAACTTTTTCGGTTGCTTTCAGAAGAACTGCTGTGTGCGATGCAACTACTTCTGCTCGGACGTTGTCTGCGGAACGTGGCGCAGTCGCTGGTTCTTCGTGAAGGAAACCTGTTTCGGCTACATTCGTCCGACGGACGGCAGCATCCGGGCAGTGATCCTTTTCGATCAGGGCTTCGACGTGTCCACTGGCATCTATCAGACGGGTATGCGCAAGGGATTGCAGATACTAACAAACAATAGGCATATCGTCCTGAAGTGCTGGACGCGACGGAAGTGCAAGGAGTGGATGCAGTACCTCAAGAATACGGCTAACTCGTATGCCCGCGACTTCACGTTGCCCAATCCGCACATGTCCTTCGCCCCGATGCGCGCCAACACGCATGCCACGTGGTACGTGGACGGCGCCCAGTACATGTCCGCCGTGGCCGACGGCTTGGAGGCCGCCCTCGAGGAGATCTACATCGCCGACTGGTGGCTCAGTCCCGAGATATACATGAAACGACCCGCCCTCGATGGCGACTACTGGCGTCTGGACAAGATTCTGCTGCGCAAGGCCGAGCAGGGAGTTCGCGTCTTTGTGCTCCTCTACAAGGAGGTCGAAATGGCGCTGGGCATCAACAGCTACTACAGCAAGTCCACGCTGGCCAAGCACGAAAATATTAAGGTGAGTGGGAAAAGAAATACCATAAAATTGCTATGTTATTAAATAGAGCCCTGCATGGGTATACAAAATGGGTTAAATGGGTACTCAAACCAAATTTCAGGTCAAGTAGGTCAGGCTTTCTTTTAAAAAATTATCTACCCTACCTGACCCCAACGTTTTCGCATTTTTCCCATTTACCCAAACCAAAACGACTCAAGTCAAATGGGCTTCAAGTAGATCAGTTCGTGTGTAAGGTTACGTTAAGGTAAACAATTTTTTTTTTTTAATAAGAGGATGATCACAGATTTCACAGCTCATCGACCCGTCGCGAATTCTTAAGGTCAAGATGGTTGTTTGTGTATAATAAATAAATTAAAGGATACATTATGTCGACATTTGTTTCCACTTCTACCAACCAACCAATTCGCGGTTTTTAAAAAATAGATATGGAATATATCTATAGGTTTCTTTAGTTAAGTTATGTATGATCCACACAAATCAATCCACTTGTTCCTAAGAATTCGCGTTCCTTGAAAAATTAATATAGAACATATCTTTAGGTTTCTTAGTTAAGTTATGTATGATCCACACAAATATATCCTTTTATTCCTAAGAATTAATAATATTAAACTTCCATTACAGGTCATGCGACATCCCGACCATGCCAGAGGCGGCATTCTTCTATGGGCCCATCACGAAAAGATTGTGGTGATCGATCAGACCTATGCGTTCATGGGTGGCATTGATTTGTGCTACGGTCGGTGGGATGATCACCATCACCGCCTTACGGATCTGGGCAGCATATCCACATCCTCCTTTACGGGCAGCACGCGTCGAACACCCAGCTTGTACTTCAGCAAGGACGACACGGACTCGGCCTTCGGATCGCGCAAGTCCTCGCGGAATGCCCACTACGAGAGCTCGGCCAAGGAGAGGTCACCATCTCCCCACCGGCGGAAGAAGCCAGCACAAGTATAGAATTGAAGACGTTAAAACCTGGTGATCGCCTGCTAATACCCTCCATGCTGGTTCCCAGTCCCGGAGAAACACCCGGTGAAACGAGCATAGCCCTGGAGGGTATGAAGCTCAACACACCCGAAATGGAGCGCAAGAACGTGCTGGATCGGCTGAAAAACAACGCGATGAAGGGTGCTCGCCTGGGCAAGGACTTTATGCACCGACTGACAGCCAACGAGGCGGCGGATGAGAAGTCCGGTGAGGTGTTCACCATCGAGTCAGAGGACGTTACGGACCACGAGAACGGTGCAAACTTGGCTTCGGGCGGTCAAGAGGAGGCTATCACCGCCGGCAGCACGCAAATACTCAGCGAATTCTGCGGCCAGGCCAAGTACTGGTTCGGCAAGGACTACTCCAACTTCATACTCAAGGACTGGATGAACCTCAACTCGCCGTTCGTAGATATCATAGATCGGACGACCACGCCGCGGATGCCCTGGCATGACGTGGGTCTGTGTGTGGTGGGTGCATCGGCGCGAGATGTGGCGCGCCACTTCATCCAGCGTTGGAACGCCATGAAGCTGGAGAAGCTGCGCGATAACACACGATTCCCGTACCTAATGCCCAAGAGCTATCACCAGATAAGGCTGAACTCCCATCTCCAGCAGAACCGCCAGCAGCGGGTCACCTGCCAGCTGCTGCGGAGCGTCTCCGCCTGGAGCTGCGGCTTCATCGAGGCCGATCTGGTGGAGCAGAGCATCCACGATGCCTACATTCAGACGATCACCAAGGCGCAGCATTACATTTACATCGAGAACCAGTTCTTCATCACCATGCAGTTGGGCATGGGCGTGCCGGGGGCGCACAACAATGTGCGGAATCAGATCGGGGAGACCCTATTCAAGCGGATCGTGAGGGCTCACAAGTGAGTTGAAAAAAATCGAGAAAAATCGATATGAAACGTAGATCGATTTTACCTTATAAATTCGTAATCCGTAAATTCGATATGCTCGAAATGTTAAATGTTAAAACGATATGCGTATTGCATATCGATGCGACATGCTTTATTTTTGTGTGTGACTGATCTAACTCATATATTTTTCTTTCAGGGAACGAAAGCCCTTCCGTGTTTTTGTGATAATGCCCCTCCTGCCGGGCTTCGAGGGAGACGTGGGTGGCAGTACTGGCATTGCTGTTAGGGCCATCACGCACTGGAATTACGCATCCATTTCCAGGTGGGTTTTTACTAGCAAGAATAGACAGAAAAGGATTAGAATATCAATAAAATTTCGACATGAATAATGTCAAAATTATGACCAAAACATGTCAATGAGATATTTTATCATATCAGTAATTTCATAGCAACTATTTAGTAGTTTTTTTTTACAAAAAATATAAAAAAAATATTAATCTGGTCTTTATTTATTATAAAACTAATATGAATTACATGATTTTTAAAAAATTTTACATTTTACATATTGGTCTTGATCGTTTGTTAGGAATTTATTTCAATCCTTAAATTATTTCTTCTAGGGGACGCACAGGGATTTTAAACCGCCTGGTGGAGGCGGGCATTGCCAATCCGCAGAACTACATCTCATTCCATAGCCTGCGTAACCACTCCTTCCTGAATAATACACCCATCACGGAGCTGATCTATGTGCACTCGAAGCTCCTAATTGCCGACGATCGAGTGGTTATATGCGGGTCGGCGAACATCAACGATCGCTCGATGATCGGAAAGCGGGACTCCGAAATTGCGGCTATTATCATGGACGAGGAGTTCGAGGATGGCCGCATGAACGGAAAGAAGTATCCGAGCGGAGTGTTTGCGGGTCGCCTGCGAAAGTATCTGTTTAAAGAACATTTGGGTAGGTTACTTGACTGGGATTTACTTTCATATTCAACGAATTTTCTTCTTTATGCAGGCCTCCTGGACGGAGATAGTTCCAGTCGCTCGGAGCTGGACATCAGCGATCCGGTTTGCAACAAGTTCTGGCACGGCACCTGGCGCAGGATCTCGACACAAAATACAGAGATCTACGACGAGGTGTTCAAGTGCATTCCAACGGACTTTGTCAAGACCTTTGCCAGCCTGCGCAAATACCAGGAGGAGCCGCCCCTTGCCAAAACAGACCCCGAGCTGGCCGCCAACCGAGCCAATGACATTCAGGTACTGTTCTGTTGAAATGGTTAACGTAATAATTTTAATTTTATAGTATTTTTGGTTTAAAGGTTTCAACCAACGAAAATCGGTTAGAGTACCAACATTTCCACAATTTTTACAGTTCCAAAATATTTGCGCTACAGGTTTAAATACTTTCTTTTTCCCCTGAACCTATGAAACAAACTTTTTAAACCAAATGTGCTATAAACTTTTTGGAAAATCTTGAAAGCTTGGCTTTAAAAATTGTGTATTTATGGTATTATTACCTATTTATTTTTAAAAAATCCTTCGTTTAGATATCCTAAAGATACTTTAATGTTCTTACTATTAAGCACTGTTGTTACACATTACATCATAAACTTACTGTGCCTTTTTATTTCAGGGATATTTGGTCAATCTGCCACTGGAGTTCCTCAACAAGGAGGTGCTCACGCCGCCCGGAACCAGCAAGGAGGGCCTCATTCCTACCTCTGTATGGACATAGTCTGCCAAAAGTCTCAAAGAGACAATTAGTTTTTAGAATCCTAAAGTAGACCTCTTAATGTTTAATACCCACCAAAAGCGCTTAACTTGAACGCTTGTCATTGCCAAGTCATACACTTTTTATATTGTATATAAATACCCGTATATAACTCTAGATAATTGAAAGTACTTGTAATTATGCCTTACCAATAGTTAATTTATTTTACACTGTTTGTCTATGTCCTCAAATAGTCTTAAGATCCTTGTTGTTATTTCTTTTTGTTTAAACAGTATTTTAGACCGATTTACTCACGTTTATTAAAGTGAAATGAAGTGCAAATAAAACATGAGAAAACGCTGTAGTCGAGTGTTTCGACTATCAGATACCCGTTCCTCTATTAAAGTGATTGCGAGGGAAATATACAAGATTCAAAGTGACAAAACAGCAATGCGACACCTAGCGACGAAAACGTTTATTGCTAACTCTTTAATAATTTTTAGAAAACTATATAAAAGTATCAAAACTTTTTAAAAATCTTGAAAAATGTGGGCGTTACACATCCGGATAAAAACCCATCAGAGCTAGTGAGTTTACGGATGGTTTAAAAATACGAATTTTTATTTGGATATCATTTTCATAATAATTTGATTTTGGGTTTGATTTAAATCCAAAAGCCTACTTTAATGTGAATAGGTTATTACTGCTTCCAGGTCAATGAGTAACTAAACAATTTCGTTCTTATAAGTTTTAGAGAATTTTAGACGAAACTGTCGTTTGTCGAGTCGAAATCGTCCTTTGCTATTTAGGGAGTTGTTGCGTCCTCCCTTGGTCGCTGTTGCAGAAGCGCGCCGTCTGTCTGAACAATCAACCATGGTCCGGCCCTCTGCACTGTGGGCACTCCGCCGGACATCAGCCAGCCCAGTTTGATCGGCGTGGGCGCCTACGTATCACCCCAGATGATGGAGGCCGAGTATGCGATGCGAGAGAAGCTGCCCGGCAACGTGTACACCTGGACATCGCGGGATCCCTGCATCGACGGACTGTTATCAACCGCATGGTGGTCACCGCCTTCCCCAGCAGCTTCCGCTTGTTCTGAGCACCGTTCAGCAGTAGACGCCACAATATTCACGCTTCGATGCGATCATTGTTTTTTATAACTAATATTATCCATATGTTTATGAATAAATGCTATTGATTGAAATGAGAAAAGTGGGCACTATTTTATGTTCAGTATACAAAGTCATTAATAAGCCATTATAACAAAATTAATCCATGAATCTCTGATTGCTAAAACCCATTTCTCAAAAAATCTGTTGAAGAGCACTAACAAATTCACTCAATTAAAAGTAAATAATATACAAATGTATATGAATGACAAAATTTCTTTATATATAATAACAATTTCGTCTCTTTCAATTGTCCTCGCTTGGAAATTCCTGATCATTGGATCACGCTCTAGTTGTTATTAGGAAAATCCTCAACGATGCCGAGTCCTCCGATGATGTGCAGAGTGGATAGAAGACCCGCCAGGCCAGTGGAATCGGAGAATATCCAATCAGATGCGATCCAATAAGTATTTATTCAAGCCGATGGAATGTCAGAAGAGACTCAGAAAAGCGTCGACTTACTCACTGCACTTATCAATGATAATAAAATATACAAATAATGTAAAGCCTTTAAATGTTTGTTAAAAATTAAAGAACAATGCAGAGCGTTTGCGAATACTTACTTGAATATGGTTTCTAGACATCAGACAATATGCAAAATTCAATTTAAGCTTAGAGATATATTGGTTTTTTTTAATGTTAATGTTATTCCACCTTTTTATTAATTTATTAAAATCGATAATAAATATTTTTTTTCAAAACATAGATGTTTTATTAAACATTAAAAACATCGATGTCTTCGAACATTTTTAGGTAAAATAAACCGCTTTGACGACGAATAATTAAAATTTGTTCTACTTTGGAATAAACAAAAAATTTCTTATGCATTCCATTTTGCCTTATTCAAATTCAAATCAGTTCAATTTTTGCGCCAAACAACTCGAACAAAACAGGCCCACAGGGTGCGCCATTTTTGTCCAATTTTGCGTCGAAAAACTCGAACGTAACAGGCCCACAGGGTGATTCGTCTATTTGAGCGACTCCGCGCTACGGTCATACCAATTGCAGCAAAAAGAAGAAGAAAAGACAAAAATTGCTCGTCATTCGCAGTAGGCGATTTCAGTGAATATTTCAAAAAACCTACAAATTCAACGCATTATATATCCCGTAAGTGTTGCAGCGACAACCGATAACCCCGGAACCGACCCCTGAACAACGAAAACCCAGTGATTTCGACCGAATAGCTGACTAATTCCAACACATCCTCCCTCCAATCTCCGCCAGCTCTCGAGAAGCAGCCGCATCATGTTCGGAAGACAAAGTGGACTGGGCAGTTCCAGCAACAGCAGCAACCTGGTGGAGTTTCGCGCCGGCCGCATGAACATGGTCGGCAAGATGGTCCATCCGGACTCGCGAAAGGGCCTCGTTTACATGACCCAAAGCGACGACGGCCTGATGCACTTCTGCTGGAAGGATCGCACCTCGGGCAAGATCGAGGACGACCTCATCGTCTTCCCCGACGACTTCGAGTACAAGCGCGTGGATCAGTGCAAGACGGGCCGCGTCTATGTGCTCAAGTTCAAGTCCTCGACGCGCCGCATGTTCTTCTGGATGCAGGAGCCGAAGACGGACAAGGACGACGAGCACTGCCGTCGCATCAACGAGCTGCTCAACAACCCGCCCTCCGCCCACCAGCGCGGCGGCGGCGGCAGCAACGACGGCGACCTCCAGTACATGCTGAACAACATGTCGCAGCAGCAGCTGATGCAGCTCTTCGGCGGCGTCGGCCAGATGGGCGGTCTAAGCTCGCTGCTGGGCCAAATGAAGTGAGCGAAAATTAGAATTTAAGATATTTGTGATTTATATCCATGATATTCAGAAAAATTTGCCAGGTCTAAAGGGAGATATCTGCCTTAGTTTATAAGAAGAAATCTGTGTAGAAGAAGGAGAAAGAAGGAGAAATCTGTCTTAGCCTTTTTTATAACGAGTGTAACGAGTCTTTTGTAATAGTATTTCTAATAGTCAAATGAAGTGAGCTTATTTATTTTATAAGTCATCCCAACAATGCAATGCAATCTTCGAGCTTATTTTTAATGCGCTAGTCACAAAAACGTATCAATTAAGGTAAACATATTTAAACTTATTGTATTAGACACTTATATTTAATATTTAGGTCGCTCTAAATTTATTAGTTTTGGTAATTGTAAAATAATTATAAAAAACATTTTTATGGGTTCAAAGAATTTTAACTTTTAAGGTGTGAGAGCACTTTTAATTTAAATTTTGTTGCGCTGCTTATATTTTTAATGCTATTAGGTAGCTGATTCCATAGTCGAACAGAGTATACGAAAAGTGTCTTTCTGACAATTTCTGAATTTATGATATAATTTTATATTTTTGCCAGGTCTAAACGGAGATATCTGCCTTAGTTTATAAGAAGAAAGATGTCTAGAAGAAGGAAAAATCTACCTTAGCCTTTTTTATATCGAGTGTGATGACTAATCTTTTGTAATAGTATATCTAATAGTCAAATGAATTGAGCTTAATAGCTTTCCCAGCCTCTAGAGAAACTCTAGAAACCAAATCCAGTTAGCTTTGTAGATTTCTAGAATGATAAGTAGATAGGCTTTTACCATTTTAAGATAAACTTTGGTCAATAACTCTTTAAAAAGGAATATAACTGCAAGAATATTTCGTAATCAGGCTGTTATCAACTAACGATTTCGTAGTTTAAGCATTTAATTTCCCTTATCTTGCTTTAATAAGCCTTTCCTTTCCAGCTCACGTACGCCCTCGTCGCGCAACACCTCCTCATCGGGTGGCGGTGGCGCCTCGGCCCTGCAGACGCCCGAAAATGTGAGTGTCCCGCGCACTCCGACCGCCCCATCCAAATCGGGCAGCAGCCGCAGCAGCAGCAATGTGAACTCGCAGGCCGGAGAGGCGGCCGGCAGTGCCGGCTCCTCCGTTGATGCGGATGCCTCCGGTAAGAACTCAACCACATCGACCACAACGGCGTCAGAATCGACCGGAGCCTATGCCAATCCATTCCAAGCCTACTTATCCAATCTCTCCCCCGAACATGGCGCAGGACGATCCCTGAACATTGACCTTTCGACGGCGCTGTCCGGCGCCGAGGCCATCAATCAGCTCATCGCCGATCCGGAGCGGGTTAAGTCGCTGATCGTGCACCTGCCCGAGTCTGAGGATGCGGACGAGGATCGCAAGCAGCAGATCAAGGACCACATCACCTCCCCGCAGTTCCAGCAGGCCCTCGCCCAGTTCTCGAATGCCCTGCAGTCGGCCCAGTTGGGGCCGGTGGTGAAGCAATTCGAGCTGTCCAACGAAGCGGTTGCCGCCGCCTTTTCCGGCAATCTGGAGGACTTTGTGCGAGCCCTGGAAAAGAGCCTGCCTGCCGGTGCCACCATGGGTGGCGAACCGTCGGCCAGCGAGAAGAAGGGCGACGCCGAGACTCCCACTTCAGTGGACGAGAACACCGATCCCGCTGCCGAGAAGCAGGAGGAGAAGCAGAAATAATAGTTTTCGGAAGCATATTTTTTAATGTTTCTAAGTATTTTTCGATTCTGAATAAATTAACAAGGGAGTTACAGATGCATTAAACCGCTGTTATATTATTTTTTGAAACTAATAGTAGTAGTAGTTGAAGTCATTCATTTCCATAACAAGATACATTTTTAAAGCTTCCATATATAGCAAATTTTCAACTAGAAATCCTTCGATCTATTTAGAAAAGTTATATTACAATAATTCAATTCTTTTCTTTTTGAGTGACATTTATTTTGAAAAAACTGATCAAAATTTTAATGATTTAAATCAATTTTCAGGGTTATCTTGAGAATCTTTTCCGATATTTAAGTCGAAGCATTAACTTAATACCGATTATTTGCGGTAACTTCAATTTTAACACTAAATTATTTTCCAAAATGGGACAGAATTTGGTAGTAATTTCTTTTAAACTCTAGCAAATAGTCTCCAATCATTTAAAAATTCAAGTTTATGTATGTATTTCACATGAATTTTTAAATTTGGAAGTAAATAGTGGGGTACTTATGGAAGTAACGGGAATAGTAATCCCGACAAGGTCATTTTGTTGGTGTCCCCCTAACAAAAAAGCTCTCTGCCTGCTCGCTCATCGAACCCCTCTAGTCGTCTCTTTCTGGCACAAATTGCGCGCTCTCTCTCAGCGAGCCGTCTCACACAGATACATACGCACACAGGCACACGCAACAATATTTATTTTATTCAATTCCAAAACGGGCAGCGAATAAGTTGTGTTTGTGCAAATCTCGCGCGTTCGCAAATTTTTGGAAGTTGGCTCTCGACTCTCATACATAACGATCTCAAGTGATCTCCCCTCGCCGGAACGAACATACGGATATATCCAGACCTACAGTAATTGCCATATTTTTTCGCCAATTTTCACGTCGCGGGCTGGATGTGTTTTTGTATCTGTTGTTGTTGGTGCTTTCATTTTGCAGCAATCTCGGCTGCATGTGTGTGTGCGTGTTGGTGCTTTTGGCGGACGTGAGTGTGTGTGCGTGTGCTGGTGGCAGTCTGCATGTTGTTTTTTCCAATCCAATGCATGACTGCTTCGCGGATTTCATGGAAAGCTTTTCCCTCCAAAGTAGTTGCCAGTAAAAAAAGTTAAAAGCCGCGACAATAACAAAAAGCAAAGCAAACACAAAAACGCGAGCAGTCGAGTGCGAGAGAGAAAGCATGAGAGTCGCACTCACACTGGCAACCTTTGTCTTTGACTCACTCGCACACACACGCACACCGTGAAACAGGACTGGAAGCTTGGAGAAAATAAAACTAAATAAAATAAGAGCTGCTAAAAGTGTGTGTTGTCAAATAACAAAGTAAACAAAAAGCTTTCCGGACTCGCAATATCTCCGGCCAACGATCTGGCAACACCAACAACAACAGTGCCAGGCTACATAAGAAAACGAAACTGCGTTTCAGCCATTTCCTGCAATCATGTATCTTTTCTCGTCTCTTCCAATTAGTGCTGGGAAAGTAACGCCAGTAACGGTTTAGCTACAGTCAAGACACAAACCCCACGCAACTCCTTAATGAGTTCCCCTCAAACAAACGGAATTCGCAACAAAAAACGCTTGATTTGCCGCTGATAAAGCTGATAAAAACCCCCAAAGCCACCAAAGTCAGCTGCACTTTTGCGATAAGGTGAGTATAACCACACGAGTGCTGTGGCGGTCTTTGATTTTGCCGGCAAAATCGAGGCTTCCAGAACAGCTGCAGGAGCTCCAGCTAAAATAAAGGTGTCCCCATGCAGTCCCATCCCCTTCACAAAAAAAAAAAAAAAGGATAAAAAAAACCAAAACACAAATGGCGCCTGAGCATATGCTGCAGGAAATTATCACGAGAGAGAGTGGGGGTGCGAGCGGGACAACCATACAGACAGTGTTTATGTTTTGGTAGAAAGGTCACATCCTTAGCTTCCAATAGAACTTTCGTTACCTTCTCCGCCACCCTCGTCCCGCGCAAATTACGTCAGGAATCGAAAAAGGAAGTCGGCTTACCACAAATCGAAGTCTAAATGCCCTGCTAATTAGTCTTCCCTAGCCAGGACATAACCAACTCAAAATGTCCTTTTGAGTTTATGCATATTTTTAAAATTTAGCCCCACTATTGGTAATATTTTTAAATGATTTTAGTACCCCTAATGTTCAAATTCCAATATTTAAATGGACTACAAATCTAGAAAGACAAAAACTTACGTTTTAATTCGAATGCTATTTTTTTTTACAATCAACATTTTTAAAAAGTAGTTCTATCTATATTTTGGCTTACTATCAGAGTAGGACCATTAAATATTAATTTGATCGCTTAAAGGATCGGAGATGTCGTTTATGCTGTGCCAAGGACATTTACCTATACATCCTCTATTGCCTTGTGAACTTCTGATCAAAATTACAATTACATGTGTGGGTGGCGAAAGTTTTTTGACGCGTCTCCTGCAACATGGCCGACCAACAGGCGGAGAAAGCTTCCAGAATGACATTGAACTTGGTTGAATTCGATTAATCACAGGACAGGGTGCCGCAGCTTTTTGGGGCAACTTTCACCAACAATTTCGCAGCTGCCACACTTCAACAGTTTGTTGTCAGTTGCAGCCATTTCATCGATTTTGCTTATATGTAGATACAAACATTCATAGCGCGCCATTTTAAAACTTTTAGCTCAAAGCTTGCAGTGTAGAGCGCCTTTCTTCCTCCACCCTTTTTGAAAGAAGATTAGGGTACCAACTTTATCTTCATCTCAACAGCTGTCTTGGTAATCCAAGAGCTTTCTTCGTTGCCTGTTGCACTCTTACTTATTTCACAAGAGGGAGTTTAAGACTGAATAAAAACAAGAGAGAACGCTATAGTCTGGTGCCCCGACTATCAGATACCCGTTACTCAGCTAAAGGGAGAGCGAAGGAGATGAAGATAAAAACTTTGATCCGCCGTAACTTTTTAACGAATGGTCCGATTTAAAAAATTTCTTCTACATTTCGATAGGTATTGATAACCACAATAAAACTGCATTTTTTTTTCCAAAATATTGAAGTTTTTAAAATCGTATATAAGCGATTGTGGGCGTTAGAGGGGGCGTGGCACCCTTTTGAAACAAACTTGCGCTGCGTAGGAACTCCTAGAATCTGCATGCAAAATGTCAATCCTCTAGCTTTTATAGTTTCCGAGATCTCAGCGTTCATACAGACAGACAGACGGACAGACGGACATGGCTAGATCGACTCGGCTAGTGATCCTGATCAAGAATATATATAGTTTATAGGGTCGGAAACGCTTCCTTCTACCTGTTACATACTTTTGCACGAATCTAATATACCCTTTTACTCTACGAGTAACGGGTATAAATATACAATTCTTGATTAATTTCTATCGATCTACCAAAAATCAGAATCTTAAATATATCTGTTAGAAATTTGAACTTCAAAAATAATAAATTAATTTTATTAATGAAATATGATAAAGGATCCATAAAATCAAACGTTGCAAAAAAAAAACTTTTTTACAATTTTCCAAATATTCAAAATTTAATCGGAAATGAAGCCTTAAACAGGATCTATTGGTCTTAGAAACCAACATCATTGAATATGCATATTATACAGCCTCTTTATCCTTTTAAAATGCAAAATCAATATTTATCCTCAAAAATTCCATAGCATTTGGTCCACCCCAGCCATGTTTGCTTTGCATGGCACATTTGCTCGACTTCCTCCGGTCCAATTTACATTGGCTCCTCCCGCCCCATTGTGATTATAAGCTCTGGCCGGCAGGCGACTCTCCGATCCGCTGACATCAGCAGTCGCAGCAGCAGCGAAATGCAGCAATCAGCCGCCGCAGCAGCAGAAGGAGCAGATGATTTTCCGGTTTGCCAGGGACCGAAAACAGGTTTTAGGCAGCAAAAAAAAAAAAAGAAACTACCGACAGACCGAATCGTACGCTGCCCTTTCGCACAGTCGGGCCAAAAAGACAATACAGTGCGGAGTGGTACATGTCAGAGCTTATATATTTTGAAAAGTACGTGTTGTGTGCGGAATTAGACAAGACATTTGGCTCAGAAGTCGACGGGCTTGATGGTGATGAACCGGGAGAGAATGAAGGCCACCAGGATGGTGGCGCATACGAAGCAGAAGGCGAACATGTAGAAGCTCTCCTCGGTGAAGATGTCCGAGAAGGCCGGTATATCCTCGTAGATCTTCTCGATCACCGCCAGCGTTCCCTTGTGTTTCCTCACCATCGTGATGGTTCTTCCCTGCGTGCCTTCTACTTCTTTTTGAGAGCCTTTTTACCGCCGCCGGCGCCGCCGCCCAGTTTCTGTTTCTCCGCCTTGGTCAGGACCTTGTTGGTGATCTCCTCGGGTGGTGCCAAGCTGGACACGTGTCTGTTGCACAGCTGCAGGAGCTCGAGGGTGTTGAGATTGTCGCTATTGAACCGAATCTCCTTGACTTTGGCTTGTTCTGCGGGGAGAAAGTTTGTTATTAAACATAATGTGACCTAGTTTTTGAGCTTAAAGGGACTTCTCACCTTGTGCTGACTCAATTAGGGCAAATTTGATGTTGGCCGGCTGGCGATCGCACACGATTTCCGACTTGACCACGCACTTGGGATTCGTCAGTGCCACTTTGGGTGTGGAGAGCAGGAAGAGGAATTCTCTGCAACAAAGATAACAAATGTGGGTTATTGATTTTCCAACATTAGCTAATTCTCCCCATTGCTTTTCCAGGAGCAGCGCCGCCTCAAACTGACGCCGACACCGACTAAAATGTCCACGGAGCGTGAGCTGGCTCCCGGTGGGCCAGCTCAGCTCCACCCGCACACGCTGCCGCTGACTTTTCCGGATCTCCAGATGACCTCCGCCGTGGGCATCATTGGGAAAGTCTACGGTGAGTGACATTGCCCAATCATCCACTTCATCCCATCATCCATCATCCCCAATCTCCATGGTAAATCGGTTTTATGGTGTGAATACTTCACTGCACCTTTTTGCTTTCCTGAGTTCTTCGCGTATGATTTCCTTTTCTGATTTTCCTCACTTTGGTTCCGTGAAAATTTTCCAACTCACTGGGGCAGACTGCGCATGTCCGCTATCGATAGGTGGAAAAGCGGTTTTCCCAACTCACCGTGTGGACTTGACGTTTTCCGCAAACGGATCGAACTGCACGGTTATCCGCTTGACGCCCTTCAAATTCACGCTCTTCAGCTGCTTGCCGATGGCCGATACAATGCCGCCGGAACGGCGCAGGGCGCCACTGAAAGGCACCGACATTATTTATGTTTTTGCAATTGACGAAGGAAAAACTGCAGTTTTTCACAAAAATAACGACGTAACAAACACGCTACGTAACAGCTGAGCGGCGATAACGATAGGCGCCCCATAATCGATAACTTCTGCCAGCTTCACTCACGAGGAGTGAGCAACCCTGCTTCGCTTGCCTAGTCTGCGGCTCCTATAGCCGTCCCGCTCTCTCGCACGGCTTGAGGCGAGAGTGCTTTGCCCTCATTTAAGTGTGGTTAAGAGTGTACAGCATGCGTCACGCTCACACGTCGCGAGTACAATTTTTGTGTGGACGTCCAGTGTGTGGCTGCTGTGGGAAAAGCTGAAGAAAATTGCATTTTTTGCATAATGCGCGACGTGAAAAGCTAACAAAAGTTGTGCTAAATCAAAATTCAATAGTCTGGCCACGGTTTGTGCGTAAGAGCGGGCGGCGCGAACGTGTTTGGTGCACAAAAACCACGTCTCGAAAAGTCAAGAATTCTACGTGCACACATTTTTGGGCTGCCATATATAAAAAAAAAACGCATACAAACGCATTTTCTTGCTGTATAGCGGAGCAGCACACAACACACACGGGCCGAGGAGCACACAGACACACACACGCATACAATTGCACTCACGAGATATGCGAGCATAAAGAAGAATTTTTTCTTAGTTGTATTACAAGAGCATTAGATACATATATAAGTATATAAATATACATATATACACGCTTAGGTGTGTACATAAAAGATACATACATATAATTAAACGAAAGCTGTGCCTACATTTGTGTTCTTTTCCAATACTAAAATAACAACAACAATAATATAAATAAAATAATGCAAATCAGAGAGAGAGAGACGAGAGAATAACACCCACTTGTCTGTTGCTAATTCCAATTTATATAAATACGCCTACGCCACGCCCACGCGCAACAACAACAACAACAAATGCAAAATCAACCAAACGAATAAAACTTTAAACTACTTTAAAGTGTGATAAGCAAAAGGCTGAAATCAAAAACAAAAAACAAAAACAAAACTATAAATAACTAGTAGAAAACCAAAAGCAAAGGCAACAACAAAGAAAACAAAAACAACAATCAATTACATTTTACACCAAAACACGAAACATCAAAAAGGGATAAACAGAAACACGAGCCAACCTTTTATACATTAATTATTTTTCTTAAACCAAACCTAACTTAGTGCAAAAACATGTATCCAGTCGGACAACGTAAGTGGCTACCGAGTGATGAAGAAGAAGAATGAAAGAAAAGACAATTTCCAGACTGAAAAAACAACACTGAAAACTGCTGCTGCCACAAGTTACCCACACCGAACCCCCCACCACCTTCCCCCTCCCCCTCGTTAAACCACCCACTAATCAAGTTTTCGATGTTCTACTTGCACCCATATGATATGCATACGTATACGTATACATTGCAAGTGCCAGACTTTGCAGTAGTGTGCAACTCCCATACAGACACGTGCGCCAAAGTGCAGAGTTGAAAATGCGCAAAAATTGGGTCAACGACCCAACGTCGCGTCGCAATAGTTTCCTGCTTTTCCGGGGGTGGCTTTTGCTCTTCAGCTTTTTGGGGCCTACGAGTATCTGGATCTAGGTTTTAGGACCAGACGCTCCCAATTGCGTCGCATTTTGACGCCGATTGTGCGTATTTCATTTAAATATTTATGCTTCAAAGGGATGAAAACAAAGAAGGTTGTAAATAAACGTTGTCAGGGAAGGGTATAAAAAATATACGCATATATTAGGGTCGTTTGTTTGAAATTTGAATATTAAATGGGAATCCAACACCATTGTTTGTTGCTTATCTTAAAAAGACGCATATAATATTATATTAAAATTGAATTTCATACCTCGAAATAATAAGGATTCATTCGAATCAAATCTTTCTAATTTCTTCTTTTAAAATAGCCTATAAAACACCTATTACATTTATCTTCGCTGTTAGCATTATCTTTTTTAAGTTGAAATCTGAAATACTTTCGTAATTTCAATTGAAATTGTGAAAATAAAATTTCTTTTTTATCAAATAAAATAGCTTAGCAAGAAGAGTGACTTCAAACTTTATCCAAAGATATCCTTATATCTGAGAGGCTTTATTATAGGTTAGCTAGGGTTTTTGATAAATTTGAATTAATAGTGGCCTCAATAGATCGCGTTCTGAATATTTACTCAGTAGAACATCGAAACCTACTCCATCTGCAGGGGTTCCCAGGGTCGAGGGGTGCGAGAACTTCTAACACAATTGTGGCTAACCCAGGACTTGGATATGCAAACTCCCACCCAACCACTTAGAACACTAAAGAACTGATCAAAGGGGAAACCGACTTGTGGCAGCAGGATAAACACGATATTACCCATTACATATATAACCCCAAACATATATTTATTAATGACGATGATGATGAAAAAAAACTGTAACTAAAATATTATTAACGCACTTTTATTTCGTTTTCTTTTCGTTCGTTATCGCCACCTGTTTTCGGTTTTCACATCGTTTCACCATTATGACATTACGACTTTGATTTACCATCATCGACAACAAACCATCGATTGGCCATTACCCGTTTTGATTTGAACCTCTTCATTTCCATTTTCATTTGATTACCTTGCGTTTATTTGATTACCTTTTCTTTTTATAGAGTCACAGTGGACCCCCTCGCCCACTCGGCCTCAGAGTCCCTCTCAGGCGCAGACTAGCTTCGACACGCTCACATGTAAATTTCTCTTCAAAACCAAAAACGATTACTAAAATTACTAAGATCCTTATGCAATTTGATTGATTCGAAAAAGCTATACAAAACTGTTTGTGTTTACGTTCTTTAGTTTGGTGTTCCCGACACACTGTTTCTCCACTAACAACTAACCTATCCTCGAACTAACCTTTTTGCCGTAATGTTACTAACAAAAAAACCAAAACTTTAAACTAACAAAAAAAAAAACTGAAATTGTTTTGATTTTTCGTTTCGTGTACATGTTTGTTTCTTCGTACCCTGCAAAGTGCACTTGAAGTATAACTCTACACCTAAACTAAAACACCTGCAAACTCTGTTTGAATTTTAAAATGTATTTTTTGTGTTTTACGCTCGTTGCATGACAATTTTTGCTTATAGCGATTAAGGGGAGTTTTTCTCATAGATTGGGATATCTCACATTGGAATCTGGGTTTAATATCAGTTGGGGATAGTAATTAAATTGATTAAATTAGTTACTTTAAAATAAAAAGTAAGGTTTAGCATTTCTACAACCCAGTTGAAAGTTTTGGATACACAATACACACTCTAGATTAGATAAGAAAGACTATTTTATTTAGGTTTTCGTTAGTTGCCTCATTTTTGTTGGTTTTTTCTTGGATGACTGTACAATTTTTCATTTAATAAAAATGTTAAAGATATTTAAACATTTTTCTCAAGAAGAAATTTTTTGTTCATATTTTTAAAATTTAAATTTATCAAATACAGTAAGTATTTGGAAGGTCATTACAATTTTCTGCAGAAGAACTAGTCAGAATAATTATAACAAATTGATTTATAGGTGAAAAACACTAATTGATATTAGGTATTCTTAATTTAAAAGCAGACCACAAAAAGTAATAAATAAAGATTCCTGAGATTTATCCAAGCATGTGAAGAACATCCCCAACCGTTCTTTAGATATTGCCTAGTTTCGTACTTTTTTTAATGCGGGAAAATATATCTTTCGAGACGAGACTAATTAGCAATTGACCTTGCAGCACCACCAGCGCCCGGATCGTCGGTCAATCCCACCGCCGTCACCAGCCCAAGTGCCCAGAATGTGGCCGCTGGTGGGGCAACTGTGGCCGGTGCCGCTGCAACTGCCGCCCAGGTGGCCTCCGCCTTGGGTGCCACCACCGGCAGCGTGACGCCAGCGATTGCCACCGCCACGCCAGCCACTCAGCCGGATATGCCCGTCTTCACGTGTCCACGTCGCCCGAATCTCGGACGCGAGGGTCGCCCGATTGTGCTGCGCGCCAATCACTTCCAGGTGACGATGCCGCGCGGCTATGTGCATCACTATGACATCAATATCCAGCCGGACAAGTGTCCGCGGAAGGTGAACCGTGAGATTATCGAAACCATGGTGCATGCCTACAGCAAGATATTCGGCGTGCTCAAGCCGGTGTTCGATGGTCGTAACAATCTGTACACACGCGATCCCGCTGCCCATTGGCAACGAGCGCCTGGAGCTGGAGGTTACTTTGCCCGGCGAGGGCAAGGATCGCATCTTTCGCGTGACGATCAAGTGGCAGGCTCAGGTCTCGCTCTTCAATCTCGAGGAGGCTCTCGAAGGTCGCACACGGCAGATACCCTACGATGCCATTTTGGCCCTAGACGTGGTCATGCGCCATCTCCCCAGCATGACGTACACGCCGGTGGGACGCAGCTTCTTCAGCTCCCCGGATGGTTACTACCATCCTCTGGGCGGTGGTCGCGAGGTTTGGTTCGGTTTCCATCAGAGCGTGAGGCCCTCACAGTGGAAGATGATGCTCAATATTGACGGTGAGTTTGTTGCTGTGAAATTACCTGCTTTTCCTTTAACTAATCCTTGAATCTCTTTCAGTTTCGGCCACCGCTTTCTACAAGGCTCAACCAGTCATTGACTTTATGTGCGAGGTGTTGGACATTCGCGATATTAACGAGCAGCGCAAACCGCTCACCGACTCGCAGCGTGTGAAGTTTACCAAGGAGATCAAGGGTCTGAAGATTGAGATCACCCACTGCGGCCAGATGCGTCGCAAGTATCGCGTGTGCAACGTCACCCGACGTCCCGCTCAGATGCAATCGTAAGAATTCTGCACTTTCTGGACCATCCTACAGTAGCTAACTATCTTTATCTTTATCCCCATTAGATTCCCACTGCAGCTGGAGAACGGACAGACCGTAGAGTGCACCGTGGCCAAGTATTTCCTGGACAAATACCGCATGAAGCTGCGCTATCCGCATTTGCCCTGCCTGCAGGTGGGTCAGGAGCACAAGCACACCTATCTGCCACTGGAGGTGTGCAACATTGTGGCTGGACAGCGGTGTATCAAGAAGCTAACGGACATGCAGACCTCGACCATGATCAAGGCCACCGCTCGTTCTGCTCCGGACCGCGAGCGTGAGATCAATAATCTGGTGAAGCGCGCCGACTTCAACAACGATTCGTATGTGCAGGAGTTCGGCCTGACCATCTCCAATTCGATGATGGAGGTGCGCGGACGTGTTCTGCCGCCACCCAAGCTTCAGTATGGGGGACGTGTGTCCACCGGCCTCACCGGTCAGCAGCTGTTCCCGCCGCAGAACAAGGTGAGCCTGGCCTCGCCCAACCAGGGCGTTTGGGATATGCGCGGCAAGCAGTTCTTCACCGGCGTCGAGATCCGTATCTGGGCCATAGCCTGCTTTGCCCCACAGCGCACTGTGCGCGAGGATGCGCTGCGTAACTTCACCCAGCAGCTGCAGAAGATCTCAAACGATGCCGGCATGCCGATAATTGGACAGCCGTGCTTCTGCAAGTACGCCACTGGGCCGGATCAGGTGGAGCCGATGTTCCGTTACCTGAAGATCACATTCCCAGGACTGCAGCTCGTCGTGGTGGTCTTGCCGGGCAAGACGCCGGTGTATGCCGAGGTTAAGCGCGTGGGCGATACCGTATTGGGCATGGCGACCCAGTGTGTGCAGGCCAAGAACGTGAACAAGACATCACCGCAGACGCTGTCCAATCTGTGTCTCAAGATCAACGTCAAGTTGGGCGGCATCAATTCGATTCTGGTGCCCTCGATTCGGCCAAAGGTCTTCAACGAGCCGGTTATCTTTTTGGGTGCCGACGTTACCCACCCACCGGCTGGCGACAACAAGAAACCATCGATCGCCGCCGTCGTGGGCTCCATGGATGCCCATCCGTCGCGCTACGCAGCCACCGTTCGGGTGCAGCAGCATCGCCAGGAGATCATCCAGGAGCTGAGCAGCATGGTGCGCGAGCTGCTGATCATGTTCTACAAGTCGACGGGCGGCTACAAGCCCCACCGCATCATCCTTTACCGTGACGGTGTCTCCGAGGGCCAGTTTCCGCATGTCCTGCAGCACGAATTGACAGCCATTCGGGAGGCTTGCATTAAACTCGAACCGGAGTACCGGCCGGGCATCACGTTCATCGTGGTGCAGAAGCGCCATCACACACGTCTCTTCTGCGCCGAGAAGAAGGAGCAGAGCGGCAAATCGGGCAACATACCCGCTGGCACCACCGTCGATGTGGGCATCACACATCCCACCGAATTCGATTTCTATCTATGCAGCCATCAGGGCATCCAGGGCACCAGTCGCCCCTCGCACTACCACGTTCTGTGGGACGACAATCACTTTGACTCGGACGAGCTGCAGTGCCTCACGTACCAGCTGTGCCACACGTACGTGCGCTGCACCCGTTCTGTCAGCATACCGGCGCCAGCCTACTACGCCCATCTAGTGGCCTTCCGTGCCAGGTGAGCCTTGATATTAAATACCCCTGTTAGAGCCCTGCATGAATGGATTCAATGAATTGTTTTGAATTTTTTGTTTTATGATGAATGAATTAATTTGAATTTTGAGTTTAATAGAATTGAATCATATTGAATTTTGGGTTTAATAGATTAATTCGTTAATTCAAACGACAATTTCTTTTGAAGAAGAAAGGGCTATCATTTTGTGGTTAAATCTGCCTGAATTTTATTTACTATGCCGTTAACATTGATTTGTTAAAAATGTTTCCACTTTTTGTTCTTAAAAGAAAACGCAAAACAAATCCGGCAAATTAAAAAAATTCATAAAAGTTATTCAATCATTCAATTCGAAATGAATTAGAAAAACATTCTATTTATTTCACATAGAAATTTTTTTAAACTTTTATTATAAAAGTCATAAATAAAAGTTACGGAAGACTTTAATTTTTTTGGTCAGAAAATAACTCTTATTCTCTGACTTTTATTTTAAAATTCTGAAATAACCAGAAATTTCCTTGCATACTATGATAAAACAAAAATTGAATGATTCATGCAGGGCTCCATCCCCTGTTTCTTTATTATATGCTAATGTGTAACCTTGCTTTGCAGATACCATCTGGTGGAGAAGGAGCACGATTCGGGCGAGGGCTCGCACCAGAGCGGCTGCTCCGAGGATCGCACGCCTGGCGCCATGGCCAGGGCCATCACTGTGCACGCGGACACCAAGAAGGTCATGTACTTTGCCTAAAAAGTATCTCGTCCCTCCCCATTTACCAACACCAAAAAGCTAAGGAATACAAAATCAGTTTCGAAATTCGATTCGAATAAGCAAGCTACTCCCCCCTTCCTCCCCTAAGATCAGAAAGCGGATGAAAGCCAAGCCTAGAAATGTAGTATTAAGTTTAAAGTTACATTTTACGTTGAGAGAGAACGCGATGAGAGAATACGAAGATCTTGCATGCATTAGTTATTTAGTAAGCAGAAGAAAATCCCACAAAGACACAAGAAACACCGCTCACTCATCCACACTCACAAAAATCTGCTAGCCACACAGTGAGAAATTATAGGAATAGGCAATCGAATGTCAGGCACAAGTTTGCGCAACCGAAGGAAGGCAAAAAGTGAGAATTCTCAAAACCAAGCGTAGCAAACAAATTGAAAGCAAATAGGAAATCAACTTAAGGGAACAAAAACTACGACAGCAACACCAACCAACACCAGAAAACAAAACAAAAAAAATTGAAAGCGTCATTAACACGAGAGAGAGACAACTTTTGTAATAGAAATTACGATTAAATTGTACAATATATTTTTACACGATACGAAATGAAGACATGATGAATGAATATGAATGAATGCATACAACCAAAGGTTTTTAGTATACAAAACGAATACGTTGCTGATCGACTCACACAGCAAAACACCACAAGAACACCAACCACTCGGATTCTCTGTACTGTGAACGAAGACCACCACCAAATTATAAACAAGCAAACAAACCACAAACCGACATTAAAGCGACAAGCATTGAAAGAGTGTAGACACAACTTAGCATGTACTAATGAAATACTTCAATAACTAGGGCGCAGTTTAAACCAAGCGAAAACATTTAATAGTTCGTAAGTTGGGCTGTACCAAAAAAATCAGAGTATGCCAGATCAGATCAGATGGACAATGAGAGCGCGGCGGAATAACGAGAACTGCAATTTCAACAAGGGACAAACTTTTGGTCAAATCAATAGCTATACTTCTAAAGCGGAGCCTAAAATATACATACCTAAGCCTAGAACTAACATTTAAAGTTTTTACAAAACAAAACGACAAAAAAAGCGACATGGAACTGTAACAATGTAGAATACTTAAATTCAAAAGTGCAAATAACACGGTAGCAGATACGTTTGCAGTGCTAATATTTTATTTTAGTCTTTAGTTTACCCTCTTGTATGCACACACAATCAGACTCCGAACTCCTCCCCTCCCCGAGTCCAAGGCATATCACTCAATGTCCTCTTATTTATGTACCTCCTACACTTAACCTAATGATATTTAGTTATACCTTATATTTTTTTAAAAGCGAAACGAAATTTGTTGATTTCCTCATGTTGATTCTTCGAATGGGCAAAAAACAAAAAGATCGCGAACAGGCCTGCTTTTCGTTGTAATTTCGTATTAATTAACTTTAGAGCAAAGTGGTGTACGGGTAATATAAACAAGGTAACTCTTCTCCACCGTCCCCCGGAGAGAGGTGGCAACTACATTTCAATATTTTACAAAGTAGTTTTAGTTTCGCCAAAATCAACAAGCAACAACAAACAAACAATATCAATATGCTACGTATGCTTAGTAATTGTACTATATCGAGGACACAGTTCAAGTTAACATTATAATGAGTTGTTATTTATCCGGTGCGGGCGACGACGATATTCTCCGACCCTCCCGCGCCGAACCTTATTTATAATTGTGTAAATCCTTACAGAACCTTTATTTTAGACCTAGTTTCCAACGTTGCAAGCTGTTTTGCCAATCGTACATTATGTGAGCATTATAAAATACATAATATATAAATCTATATGCTTATATTTAATCATTTACTGCACTTACAAATTAGTTGGTAATCCTAAAAAAAATACATACAAAAAAAACGGAGGAAATGTCACAGTCCCGCAAAATGTTGAATCAAACTTTCAAAAATCTCTTTGGGTTTCATGTCATTTGCCAAAACTTTCCCGTTTTTAGGAAACTTTACAAATGATTTAAAATTCATTGAGATTTTCGTAGCACTTCAATACAGTTTTCTGAGGGCCGGATTCTCGAATACAAGCTAAGCTATTTTCTGACTCAAAATATTTAGAATGCTAGAACTTGCCAGATAGTTGTTGGTTTGAAAAAGTTAACGACTATGTAATATCAAGAAACCGGGCTTCTTAATCCTCAAATAACTGCACCAGAAATACCATTTATTAAATTAAGATGTTTTTAAATTTTTTTACACAAAATTACAGGCCAGAGTTTCATTTCTGAAATACTCAGCTAAAAAAAAGGCTATTCTTGGATTTAGAAACGATTAACATTTTGTCGGGCTGTGCAATCGATGTGTGGGCGTATTTGTTGACATTTTAAATTGTAATTATTCATTTTCCATTCGTTTTTTTGTAGTAACGTTTCTACACAAGGGATTAAAATTTTAAATTTATTTCTAAATATTTACTTAAAGCAACCCGAAGCAAGAAAAAACAGATCAGCCAATTTTAGTTCTAAGCAAATATCGAAAACGAAACAATGCAAAGGAGTTCGCGATTCGGCGGTCGATTTAAGATCGCCCAGACAGAACCAACATTTACATTATATATTCAATTAGTTTAAGCTGAAGCTGAAATGTGTGCCGACAATGAATGCATCTCGTAGTTGTAAAATGAGCAAGATATTTAACAATAATTTACTTTTCCAACACAATACAAGAGAAAAGTCCAAAGCTTTAACTACTCGCAAAGAAAAGGAGCAAAATATCGACGTGAAAATCCTTAAACACTAAATGAAAATGCCAATAATAAGCTGCTATCTCCCATCCAAGAAAATGGGCTGTAAGAATTGTCCCTATATACACGCGTAAAAATATATATATATCGTAAACTGGAGAACTTCGATTTTCCCCCAGAAACTCACACACGCTACAATTTCAATGGTTTCTTCAGTGTCGTGCAGCTAAAAGAAAATGTTTTAGGAGAAGGTTGGAGACAGTGGAACGCCTTAAATATCATTTCCAACCTATGTTCTGCTCAGAGTCAAGGTCAAAAAGCCGGGATATTCATATGGGAACTTAAATTTTTATCTGTCAAAATTCAATTGAGCTTTAAACTAAGGATAGATCGAGAGAAAAAAAAAGAAAAAGTAACAAAAAAGTAAAAGAAATGCCGATAAAGTAATAGAGTTGGGATCGCATTGTTTCTACATATTACTTATAAATGTGCCGTTTATAGATGTCTACAATTATATACAACAAATATAGATATATACCTAGATATATAATCAGATCGAAATCGAAGCTAGAACAGCAACTTGCACAACTCTTCCTAAAGGAAATAAAAAATACAAATCTAAATCGATTAAATTATATGCCACAATTAACGAGATTTCAAGAAGTGACGGACTAACTCCAAGCAATTAAACGTTATATTTGAATAACTAACTTATGATATGTGTGTACTCTATACTCTTCCAATTGGTCCCAGAGTCCCACGTAAAACCTGACCACTCGCGCGATCCCCATAGCCACACACACACACTCTCCACTCTCGATGTAGTGTTCCAAATACGAATCAAATCGGATAACCCTTAGCTGAAATTCGACTAGCAAAATCAATATGATAATAACACTTATTCGTGCGTTAAGATTAAAGAGATCATCTGGTATACATACTTTACTTTATAAAATCAACCAAAATGCCGGGTAATTAATCAATAAAATACATATTATTAGTTCTAATCTAAGCGGAGTAAACAAAATACATCAGCATAATTATTAACAAGAAATAAGCAACGTGAGCAACGTAATATGGGAAATCTGTAACTTTGGTGATCTTTTTAAATGTTATTAGTAAAACAAAACAAAAATCAAGTTTAATGACGAATACAAATCAAACCAGTTTTAAATGTGACTTAAAATACGACGTAAACGACATTTTTCCACAAAATTATATGTGTAACAAGACAAAACCAAATTAAGAGTTTGTGACATATGCAATTTAATGAAAGTTGATGATCTTTTCGATAGAACTATGTCAAGCTGTCTAACAATTAGTTATAAGCGCTTCAATACAAAATACCATTCAACAAAAATCAACAAACTCAATTAAGTTAAACGGAACACAATTATATTTAACAAAATGTATAAGTTTTATACAAATTATAATTATTTTTATCAAGTTTTGCGGCTTTGTTTCCAATCTGAGTTCTAAACATACAAAATCAACCCATCCCTTACAAAACAAAAACGATTTCAGTTTGCGTTTAAAATAAGAAAACAGCATATACAATTCATTTTTGTTCAATAAAAATATATTTAACTAAAAATTCGTCTTGCCTTTTCGGATTTGGGACGGAATGTTGTCAGTTCTGAGGAGATCATTTGGAAAGGTGGCACCTTATCTGCACGCCAATCTCGTGGTCAGGTGCAAGGCCACTCAGGAGGCCAAGACGGCACTGATCATCCTGGCACCGGGTGCCGAGGAAATGGAGTTTACTATATCAGCAGATGTCTTACGGCGAGGAAAGGTAAAAATTATGGATTCAATTGTCTCAAAATGGTTTCAATTGATATTTTAAGTGAATACTTTAGAAGGTGGCTCACCCACTGTTGGTAATAAATCTATTTTATGATTCTTTAAACGCGTACAACTTAATAATCGAAATTCACGAAATTTGTATTACTTCGCGTATACTATTTTGAACCTTTATGTGATTTGCCTTCGGTTAGATCAATGTCACCGTGGCGGGTTTGAGCTGTGATCCGGTCAAGTGCTCCCGGTCTGTTGTTATTGTGCCAGATACTTCCCTGGAAGAGGCCGTGTCCCGTGGAAACTATGATGTCGTGGTCCTGCCGGGCGGACTAGCTGGTAACAAGGCGTTGATGAACTCGGCCGCCGTTGGAGAATTGCTGCGTTGCCAGGATTCAAGAGGCGGATTGATTGCTGCCATTTGTGCTGCTCCTACTGCACTGGCCAAACACGGAATTGGAAAAGGAAAATCTGTTACATCGCATCCAGATATGAAGCCCCAACTGGAGAAAGATTACTGGTAGGAACTTAAACCGATATTTCTTTATACATTATTGCAATTTACAAAAGTACAATAATCTATAAACCATTGTAAAAAAATCACTAATTCTATATTTTACTTTGCAAATTATCTTAACAAAGCAAGCTATTATTACACGACTTTTGTTCTGCTTAGCTATATAGATGACAAGACTGTGGTTCAGGATAAAAATATTATTACAAGTCGTGGTCCTGGCTCTACCTTCGACTTCGCCTTAAAGATTACCGAGGAGCTGGCTGGAGTTGAAATGGCCAAAGAGGTGGCCAAGGCAATGCTTTGGACTTATAAATTATAACGGAAATTGTACATAATCTATGTTAAATAAATCAGTTGTCTAATACTTAATTCCAAAATGTTTACTTAATCAATTAAATTAATCGCTCAGTTATTTTAATCCACAATACATGAACATATGCTAATTCAACTTTCCAAAATATTGCCCAAATAAAAAAGAGCGCAAAAATTAAAAAAATAATGTAGAGCGTAAAATAATTTTAATTCATTAAACCCTATGTAACTCCTTGAAATAAATTCGGTGTAATTCGATGTAAATGGCTGTAAGCATGGAAACTTAACAGGAATGTTATAGATGGCGTGTTAGTGAATGCTGACAACAGATCGTTTAATGTTAGCTAACATTTTAGAGATGTGGAATCACCGATGATTGCTAAGGTATTAGAATCGACGGTTTCATCGAGGTTTCTCCATCTCTACTTCTAACACTCCGGTCACACTGCAGCAGTTCGGGAAAACGGAAGGTTCAACTTTGTGGCGGTCCGTGAAATTTGTATTTTTTGTGTTTTTGGCGGAATAAAACTGTCTTTTGAATCGCAGTCAGGATAGTTAGTACTTAGAGGGAGTAGCCAAGTAAGGATTCTGCACAGTTGCAGTTCCTGGAGAGTAGACCGTTTTTTGCGCCTTGTGAGCACGTGAATCGTTTGTTGTTGCGCCCGTTGCACTTGCAGCCCAAAGTGCGCTCGTGTGTGCGTGTGTGCGTGTGTGTGTGTAGACGGGTCATTAAATCTGCCGCTTCTTTCTCTGCCGCTGTTCTTTTGTTTTTGGGTAAATTGCACAAGTGTAATGGTTTTCAAGAAGTGCAACAACCAGAGCGACAGCAGCAGCAACAAAAGCAACAACTGCAACTACGACAGCCATGTAAAGTGTGTGTAACCAGAAACGCGAAAAAATTGCAGTTCATTCAAACTGCAAACGAAATTGCCATAAATTATTGTTATAAGCTTTTGCGTTGCGTGATGAAAGAAAACAGTGCGATGGCAAATGAAAAGCGCTGCGAGCGAGAAAAAAAATAGTGGAAAATATTGTGTATATAATAGTGAATAGTGAAAATTAGCATAGAGCAGGAGCAAAAAGCTAAAAAAAAAAAAGAAAAACCAGGAAAATAGTGGAAGCAGCCACAACAAAAAAAAAAAAAGGAGAAGAAGCAGAGGTTGAAAAAACGTTTGCTGCACTTACACAAACACACTAATACACATACCCACCCTCTCTCTTCCGCGTCCTTTTCCCTGCTTCCACTCGCCGTCTCTCTCGCACCCGCCGCCGCAATCGCAATCTCTCTCTGACATGCGTCCTCTCCCGCTCTCTCCCGGTGCACTTTCGGTGCCCTTTTCATGCTCCTTTTCATGAGTCACGAGTTGAGGCAAAGAAACCGTGTAAAATAAGAGGAAATTGTGCAAAAAGCGGTGACAGTGCGAACCACAAAAGAGTCAAATTCAAGCAGACTTAAGCAAATCAAGCAAAGTGCACTGTGCTAAATGCTAAATGCCGAAATAAAAGGCATTATTGTTCCTTTTGGGTGTTTCTTCCTTCTTCGTTACCCTCCCATTCGGCGATTGTGTGAGTGGAATTTTTAACCGACAGCCGCGGCCTTTTGTTGCGGGGGCGGGTAAACAAATTAAATAATTTGTTTATAAAACTGTGTCAGAGCAAGAGTCATGTGTGAGTCTCAACCCGCTCCCTCTGACGCAGGTGCGTTTATCGACAGTCGAACCTGCCTAACGTGAACTATCATCCTTCGTTAGTCATAGTTCAATTTAAAAATTTCAAGTTATAAAAATGATTTTTAATTAAAGTCTTAAACCAGTAACTACTGTGATAGCTTTAAGATCTCAAAAATTCAGTTGCATTAATTTATTTCATACTATTCTCTATAAAGTTTTGTGGAGTAAAGTATGAAAAACCTCGTATATTTCCTTTGAGTTAAAAATAACCATAAGAATGATATAGTTATCAAACTGAATGAAACTAGGCTATAAAAAACAAGGTTGTTAGAGCAGCCTTTAGAAAAAAGTGGATTCCCCTTAGGAAAGTTCGACTGTATGATCGCTTAGTTTCTGGCCGGCTAATCAAAGCAAAGTCAGCACAATAATTTCGCCTTCTCTGCCTTCCACTCTTTCTCGCCTATCTGGTCCACTCCATCTGCTCTCTATCTATATACATACTATCTGCTAAAACATTCGCCCTTGTGGTTTTTATCAAAGACTTGTTCTAATTAGCAAATGCTTCAGTTTTTGTCATTGTCGCATAAGCGTATTTGTACGTACAAACATAACAATACCGTTCATACATCATCGCTGGAAAAAATCGATAGTAAGGAGGGGCGGTCAAAGTTTTTTTCTGAGTGGTGGGTGACACATCCATCCCGTGTACCGTTCCTTTTCGTCCGTCTGCTTTATCATTCATTCAAATCGGACAGGCTACGCGCATTACACACACTACGTGCACACGTGTGCGTGAGCGCCTGACACTGACACTGACCACAGGTAAATTGAGAGAAAGAGAGGGACGCACTACGCTCACCTCCACCTCCGCACTTTTGCGCTCTTTCTCCTTTCTTTCCATTTGCCGGTCTTTTGCTGCTCTGTTTACAATTTCATTTGTTTTGGTGAGCAACCCCAAAAAAACAACATTTGGCGGCAGGCCCAATTTCCATTTTTGGCTTTTCTATTTCCCAGAGAATTTTCCTGGGGTTTCGAAAACACAATTGGAATATATTAAGGGAGTTTTTTAACTGAGGCGTTATCCTGTACTGGTATACTTTTGTTTTATCTAACCATCCCTAAAGTCAAAAGTAGTTACATGTTTATCAGATATTTTGGATAGATATTAGCAAAATAGGCGACCTTAACTTTTTGTATGTGCTTAAGTTTTTAGATAATTTGGTTAGATTAGCTAAAAAAACACGTTGCCTTCCCTTCCTTGACCTTTCCCAATACGAATTTGCTGCAACTCGATCAATGACAAATGATAACAACTTCTTTTAGGCAAGCTGAGTAATGAAATATAACAGTTTTTGGATTCTAAAAGTTTTAGTTTCGATGAGAACTTTCAGAATCTTGAAAAGAAAATTTGCTACATATTCTTTGTGCATTGAATTAAAGACGAGATTTTTTGATAATTAAATCATTATTATATTAAGAAGAGGTCCTGTAACTAAAAATTTTCAAATAAATTTTAAAATATTTCTGGAACATACATAATCCAAACTAAAGTTTTTTAGTTCCATAAAAGAACTCTAATTGAAAGAAAGGTTATAAAATTGTTGTGTTTTCCTAGTTTTGAAAAGACGTTGTTGTGAAACCTTATACTTGTGGGATATTTAAAAGTTTTTCAACCGAATAGTAGAATAGCACTTAAACTCTTTTGCATATTCCGCTGGAACCAAGTAATCATTTAGCTTCCTTTCTATTTTCTCACTATAGTTTTCCCAGAATGCGCTTTTAATGAATCCCGAAAGGGATGAGGCACTCCCCTTGCTTTTACGACTACAGGATACGCAAACGTACATATAAAACATAATCAAACGCTCTTTTCCACCATCTAACGTGGAATCCGTCAAAGGGGTTGTTGCCTTTGCGGCGCTCGTTATTGCTGTTGTCTTAGTTGTTGTTCAAGTAGTGTTTAGTTGTTAGTTGTCTAGTGGTGTTTGTCGGCCTGGAAAATGCACTCAAGCGTTGGGCCCCGAGCAGCTAGACTCTCCTTTCCCTGCCGCTTCTTCTGCCGGCTGCGTTTTTTATTACTTACTGGGCCGTCTGACAAGTTTTACGTTTTTGTAGTGTTTCCCTCGATTGGCAGCGACATGCACTTGGCATCGCCAGTTGGAAAACTCCATCGAGGTCGCGATTGCGCTACAAAGTGGCCATCGGCCGTGGAAATCTAGATGCCTCTTGGCTGGGTGGAAGTTCTGCCACTAACGGAGGTGTGTCCGCTAGCATTAGAGTTGAGTTTTATTTGCTTTAGATTGGAATAATTGAAGGTGAATGTTTAAAAGAGGCCTTAAGGGGTGAAAGGCAGACAAGCGTTTAAAACTATTTATACATACATACCTAGATATAACATCCTGATCCACAATTTTGATAAACATATTAAATAAATCTTTTGAAATGGAATTTCTATAGTGTATTTTAAAAATAACTAAGTAGAAAAATATTGCAATAAACATTTTTTTAACACAATTACAATTTATACCACATTTTTTGTAGGTACTCTTAAAATTTGTATCTTATGTAAATAAATCTAAACGTTAAAAATAAACCTTTTTAATTGGTTTAAAATTAAAAAAAAAAAAAAAGTTTAAAATAAATAAGTATTGCAAAATGCATTTAATATGACCCTCAATCCTATAGAAGTTATTGTTTAAAAAGATCACATCAAAATTCAAAGGCAAAAGAAGACGTTTCTATGCGTGGTTCTATATAAAAAGGTTAAAGTACCGGTTGTGTGTCAAATTAGTTTGGTTGCGCTCCATTAGCTAATGTTCTCACACGCTGTCGGGAAGCCCCAGATGCCTTCTCGCCTATCTGCCGAGTAATACTTGCATCTCGAGACCCTTGTCGGGCCATATCTGGTGTGTGGCATCTGTGATAAGCGGGAACACAATGCAATCAACCGCTCGATTTCCACACAACGGCGTCGGCGGCAGCACATAGACTCCACCGATCTCCTCCACTCCACCCCGATTCGATCTTTGCCCTTTCGAGTGGATAATTAAAGTTCCGCTGGTCGTCGGGGAAACGCCCACTAAGAATTTCGGAGCCTAATTAGTCGGCAATCGTCTGGCCATTTATCAATGAGCACACAACTAACTAATGGAGCAGTTGGGCAGTTCTAGAAACCTTCAGAAAATACTGAATCGATTTGAATTTGAGTTTGAACTCGTAGGAATATCAAACCAATTGAACCCGTTTAGCAATTTGACATGCAAATTTTTCAGATCGCTGATTGTTATGCCATGACATAATCCCATAACAAAAACCCTGAAGCAATGAGCTAATGGAG